GGGCATCCCATTCCAAAACCATGTCCATTAATATGGAGTTGCCCCCCTTTGTGACTATAACATCCTCCACTCTTCTGGGAAGGCTTTCCACATCATTTTGGAGGGTGTCTTTGGGAATTTGTGTGCATTTGGAGGTCAGATACTAATATTGGATGAGAAGACCTGGCTCAAAATTGATCCAGTTCATCACAGAGGTGTTCAGTCTAGTTGAGGTCGGGGCTGTGAACCGGACACTTGAGTTCCTTCACCTATCACACCTATATGAGCTTGTTGTACATCCCACCCCAAAAGATTGATAAGAGAAGTCGGCGCAAAACAAAAGACCATTGATAGTTTGATTGTCAGAGGTGCCCAAAGTGGTTATTTAATGGAAAGGCATGAGTCGTCTAGTGCCCCAACTTTGTGACTATTACATCCACCACTCTTCTGGGAAGGCTTTCCACAAGATTTTCTGGAGGGTGTTTCTGGGAATTTGTGCGCATTTGAAGGTCAGATACTAATATTGGATGAGAAGACCTGGCTCAAAATTTGCGTTCCAGTTAATTACAAATTTGTTCAGTAGAGTTGAGGTCGGGGCTGTGCACAGAACACTTGAGTTCCTCCACCCATCACACCTATAGGAGCTTGTTGTACATCCCACTCCAAAAGATTGATAAGAGGAGTCCGCATAAAAAAAAAAGACCATTGGTAGTTTGATTGGCAGAGGTGCCCAAAGTGGTTATTTAAAAGATAGGCATGAGTCATCTAGTATCAGCCGGTAACGTGCCGTGTTCCTCCACCCTAGAAATTCTGAAGGGACCTCTGCAAACTGGTATATCTTGTTTGTGTTCCTCCACCCATCACTCAATAGGTGGAGTGTAGTGTTTGTGACAGTGATGTCATGTAGGTGGATAACATGTAGCTACATGTCATCCACCAAGATGACATCACTGGGTGACCACAGCCTTAACAGTTGTATGTCCATTTTGACCTTTTTTCCTTTTATTTTGGAAGCATTTTATTGTTGATTCTGAATTAATCTTCTACACTATAATGCTCCTCTGCCGCCGCCTCTTTTCTTTATCGGTGGATTCCCTGTACTCTACCAGAGACCCCTGGTAAGCTCCTCGGCATCCATCGGTCTGTGATCTACGACCACACCCAAGACCCCAATCCAAAACTTATGTGGAGTTCACCCCTCTTATGCAGTAATAACATCCTCCAATCTTCTGGGTAGCCTTTTTACACAATTTCAGAGGGTGTCTTTGGGAATTTGAGCCCATTTGTGAGGTCACTGATGTTGGATTAGAAGACTTGGCTCACAATTGGTGTTCCAGTCCATTCCAAAGATGATCAGTAGGGTAGTGGAAAGTCTACCTACAGCTCTGTGCTTGTTGGACACCCTATGCTAAATCCATGGATTTTAGTATACAGTTGTCCCCCATTGTGAATGTAACATTCTCCACTCTTCTGGGAAGACTTTCCACAAGCTTTTGGAGGATGTCTGGGAATTTGTGTCCATTTGTGAGGTCAGGTACTGATGCTGGATAAGGAGACCTCATTCACAATTGTCTTTCCTTACAATTGACACTCAGTAGGGTTGAGGTGGGGGCTCTGTTCAGGACACTCATGTTCCTCCACCCATCACAACTATATGAGCTTGTTTGACATCCCACTCCAAAACCATGTCCATTAATATGGAGTTGCCCCCCTTTTGTGACTATAACATCCTCCACTCTTCTGGGAAGGCTTTCCACATGATTTTGGAGGGTGTCTTTGGGAATTTGTGCCCATATAGAGGTCAGATACTGATATTGGATGAGAAGATCTGGCTCACAGTTGGTATTCCAATTCATCTCAACAGTGTTTAATAGGGTTAAGATCAGGGCTTTGTGTAGGACATTCATGTTCCTCCACCCATCACAACTCTATTAGCTTGTTGGACATCCCATTCCAAAACCATGTCCATTAATATGGAGTTGCCCCACCTTTGTGGCTCTAACATTCTCCACTCTTTTAGAAAGTCTTTCCACAAGATTTTGGAGAGTGTCTGTGGGAATTTGTGCCCATTTCTGAGGTCAGGTACTGATGTTGGATGAGAAGACCTGGCTTGCAAATGTTTTTCCTTTTCATCCCAATGGTATTCAGTAGGGTTGAGGTCAGGGATCAGAACTTGATATCAAATTTACATCCATGGGCATTAATATGGTGTTGCCCCAACTTTGTGGCTATAATATCCTCCGCTCTTCTGGGAAATCCACAAGATTTTGGAGGTCAGATACTGAAATTGGATGAGAAGACCTGGGTCACAATTGGTGTTTTAATTAATTCCAAAGCTGTTCAGTAGGGTTAAGGTCAGGGCTCTGCGCAGGACACTCAAGTTCCTCCACCCAACACACCTATATGAGCTTGTTAGACATCCAATTCGAAAACCATGTCCATTAATATGGAGTTGCCCCACCTTTGTGGCTCTAACATCCTCCACTATTCTGGGAAGACTTTTCACAAGGTTTTGCAGGTCAGATACTGAAATTGGATGAGAAGACCTGGGTCACAATTAGTGTTCCAATTCATTCCAAAGCTGTTCAGTAGGGTTGAGGTCAGGACATAAATCCAAACAGAGAGCCAACCAAACTGCCCATATCCCCCCTGCTTGGATTTATATTTTTAAGCAGTTACCGTATTTTTCGCTCCATAAGACGCACCTGACCATAAGACGCGCCTAGGTTTTAGAGGAGAAAAACAAGAAAAAAAATATTCTGAACCAATGGACTGCAGATACAGTACAGGGGATGACCAGAGACTGCGGACATAGTACATGAGATGACCAGAGACTGCGGACATAGTACAGGAGATGACCAGAGACTGCGGACATAGTACAGGAGATGACCAGAGACTGCAGACACAGTACAGGAGAGGAGCAGAGACTGCAGACACAGTACAGGAGATGAGCAGAGACTACAGACATAGTACAGGAGATGACCACAGACTGCGGACACAGTACAGGAGATGACCACAGACTGCGGACATAGTACAGGAGATGACCACAGACTGCGGACACAGTACAGGAGATGACCACAGACTGCGGACATAGTACAGGAGATGACCACAGAGACTGCAGACACAGTACAGGAGATGACTGCAGACACAGTACAGGAGATGACGAGAGACTGCAGACACAGTACAGGAGATGACGAGAGACTGCAGACACAGTACAGGAGATGACGAGAGACTGCAGACACAGTACAGGAGATGACGAGAGACTGCAGACACAGTACAGGAGATGACGAGAGACTGCAGACACAGTACAGGAGATGACGAGAGACTGCAGACACAGTACAGGAGATGACGAGAGACTGCAGACACAGTACAGGAGATGACGAGAGACTGCAGACACAGTACAGGAGATGACGAGAGACTGCAGACACAGTACAGGAGATGACGAGAGACTGCAGACACAGTACAGGAGATGACGAGAGACTGCAGACACAGTACAGGAGATGACCAGAGACTGCAGACACAGTACAGGAGATGACGAGAGACTGCAGACACAGTACAGGAGATGACGAGAGACTGCAGACACAGTACAGGAGATGACGAGAGACTGCAGACACAGTACAGGAGATGACAGAGACTGCAGACACAGTACAGGAGACGAGAGACTGCAGACACAGTACAGGAGATGACGAGAGACTGCAGACACAGTACAGGAGATGACGAGAGACTGCAGACACAGTACAGGAGATGACGAGAGACTGCAGACACAGTACAGGAGATGACCAGAGACTGCAGACACAGTACAGGAGAGTACTGCAGACACAGTACAGAATGAGATGACGAGAGACTGCAGACACAGTACAGGAGATGACGAGACTGCAGACACAGTACAGGAGATGACGAGAGACTGCAGACACAGTACAGGAGATGACCAGAGACTGCGGGACATAGTACAGTACAGGGAAAATACCAGGGACATAGTACAGATGACCAGAGACTGCAGACAGTGCAGGGGATGACCTGAGGCTGCAGACAGTAATGGAGAATACCAGAGACTGTGGACCTTTGGGGAGAGAGGGGGAACGGGTACCTGAATTTGACAGGTACCTGGTCCCACTTCCGCGGAGTTGTCCGTCCTTCTTCCTTCTGTGACCTGGCATGTGTCCCAGAAGACGCCGGACCATTCACAAAGTGCAGCGCTTCTTGCGCATGCGCAGTGGGCACCCGGCTGTCACAGAAGCCGCCGCAGGAAGACTGCAGCGCTGGAACGAGGAACAGGTAAGGTCCTGCAGGAGAGAAGAGCTGAGCGGCCGGCCCGATATTCTGACATGGTGGCGGCAGAAATACCGGGACCGACCGCTTTACATTCGCTCCATAAGACACTCTGACATTTTCCCCCCATTTTTGGGGAGAAAAAAGTGTGTCTTATGGAGCGAAAAATACGGTATATTACACTTGATTGAAATTGGACGCAGAGTGAGATTTGGTAAAATAGTAGGACTCTGTGCAGGACACTTGAGTTCCTTCACACCAAACTCACCAAACCATGTCTTTGTGGAGCTGGCTATGTCTACTGGGGCACAATCCTGGTGGAGCAAAAAAAAAAAAAAAAAGTCTTCCCCTCGTTCTTGCCAAAACTTTGGAAATGACCAGTGGTCTGAAATGGCTTTGTATGCCTTCGCATTACCAGTACCCTGAAAACACGTGAACACAATATCCTGGAGGGTTGTCAGATGTGGTTGTGATGGTCAGGTGTCTACAAACTCTTGGCCATGTAGTGTAGATTTGCATATTCTTTTCACCACACATGCAGCACGTCATTACACGGGTGAATCTGGTGGCTTGGTGATCCAGATAAGCACTTTTTTTTTTTTTTTTTCAACCAGCTGTTGCTTTTATAAGATGACCTGCCTGGGTAGTATTTATATGTATACATAGCAGTTTATTCCATTAGCAACTTAGAATGTTCTCAACCTGTGGTTTGCCATGCTAGTATTAGTAACTTAATAAATCTTTGTCTCCAGTTTTGGACAGCAAAGCCATAGATTCTAACCAGCCAATGAATGCACTGATGCGACTAAACCAGATTCGACCTGGCTTGCAATACAAACTGCTGTCTCAATCAGGTCCAGTACATGCACCAGTTTTCACTATGTCTGTTGATGTAGATGGAACCACACATGAGGCCTCCGGACCATCCAAGAAAACAGCCAAGCTTCATGTAGCAGTAAAGGTTAGTGGAGGTGTTGCGTGAACACCCATCAGGTATCTTCATTTTATCTTGTCGGTTGTTTTTGGAATTAATAGACATTTTACAGTTATTAAGATAAATGTATAAGTTCAATAAAAGGGATGCAACACCCGTAATGTGCTGCAGTCAGTTTTTGTACCGTATATATTGGCTGGCACAGTGACTAAGTGGTTAGCACTTCCACCTAGGAGCACTAGGGTTGTTGGTTCAAATCCCAATCATGGCGCCACCTGCCTGGAGTATGCATGTCTACCCGTGCCTGCATGGGATCCCTCCAGTTACTCCGGTTTCCTCCCACACTCCAAAGACATGCTGGTAGGTGAATTGGCTCCTGTCTAAATTGGCCCTAGTATGTGTATGTATGAATGTGAGTTAGGGACCTTAGATTGTATGACCCTCGGGGGCGGGGACTGATGGGAATGTTCAATATATATATGTAAAGTGCTGCATATATGGACAGCACTATATAAGTGTGTGTATATATGTGTGTATGTATATGTGTGTGTGTGTGTGTGTGTATATATATATATGTATGTGTGTATGTATGTGTGTATGTATGTGTGTATATGTGTGTATATATGTGTGTATGTGTGTGTATATATGTATGTGTGTGTGTGTATGTATATATATGTATATGTGTTTGAGTGTGTGTGTATGTATATATGTGTGTGTGTGTGTGTGTGTATATATATATATGTGTGTGTATATAATATGTATGTGTGTGTATATATGTAATGTGTATACACACACACACACACATATATATATATTCCAGTAAGTAAAATATAATAGCAACTTGGCTTGGTGCTCAGCAAAGGTCTCCAGTGTACCGCACTCTTATTACTCTTACATTACATATTTTAGATCAGTGGTCTCTAAACTGTGTCCCGGAGGCCAGATGTGGCCCTTTGCTTGCCTTTATCCGGCCCTTGGAGCACCATTCCTCCATTTGACACCAACGATGGGGCACTATTCCTCCCTGACACCAATGATGGGGCACTATTCCTCCCACTGACCAATGATGGGGCACTATTCCTCCTACTGACACCAATGATGGGGCACTATTCTTCCCACTGATACCAATGATGGGGCACCATTCCTCCCACTGACAATGATGGGGCCCTATGCCTCCCACTGACACCAATGATGGGGCACTATGCCTCCCACTGACACCAATGATGGGGCACTATTCTTCCCACTGATAACAATGATGGGCACACCATCTCCCACTGACACCAATGATGGGGCACCATTCCTCCCACCGGCACCAATAATAGGGCACCATTCCTCCCACCGACACCAATGACGAGGCATCATTCCTCCCACCGACACCAATGACGAGGCATCATTCCTCCCACCGACACCAATGACGAGGCATCATTCCTCCCACCGACACCAATGACGAGGCATCATTCCTCCCACCGACACCAATGACGAGGCATCATTCCTCCCACCGACACCAGTGACGAGGCACCATTCCTCCCACCGACACCAATGACGGGGCGCCATTCCTCCCACCGACACCAATGACGGGGCGCCATTCCTCCCACCGACACCAATGACGGGGCGCCATTCCTCCCACCGACACCAATGACGGGGCGCCATTCCTCCCACCGACACCAATGACGGGGCGCCATTCCTCCCACCGACACCAATGACGGGGCGCCATTCCTCCCACCGACACCAATGACGGGGCGCCATTCCTCCCACCGACACCAATGACGGGGCGCCATTCCTCCCACCGACACCAATGACGGGGCGCCATTCCTCCCACCGACACCAATGACGGGGCGCCATTCCTCCCACCGACACCAATGACGGGGCGCCATTCCTCCCACCGACACCAATGACGGGGCGCCATTCCTCCCACCGACACCAATGACGGGGCGCCATTCCTCCCACCGACCAATGACGGGGCGCCATTCCTCCCACCGACACCAATGACGGGCGCCATTCCTCCCACCGACACCATTGACGGGGCGCCATTCCTCCCACCGACACCAATGACGGGGCGCCATTCCTCCCACCGACACCAATGACGGGGCGCCATTCCTCCCACCGACACCAATGATGGGACATTGATTACTCCCACTGACACCAGACATTTTATACTCTCACAGGCAGGGGCGGACTGACAACTCATGGGGCCCCCGGGCAATAGGGGATCATGGGGCCCCTGTGTCCTTGCCCAAACTCAAAAAAGCCTATGAAAAAGGTACCAGGGGCATCTCATGGGGCCCCCTACTGACTCCGGGCCCTCGGGCAGTGCCCGAGTTTCCAAATGGTCAGTCCGCCCCTGCTCACAGGCCAGTCTGACCCCCCCAATGCCTACAGAACAGTAAACCTGCCCTTCGCTGAGATAGTTTGGGGACCCGTGTATGGTGATGCGTGTCAGTAGTAGCATTCACAATACTGTGTTGGCAGCCTCCACTCTGATGTGAAATATCTTTTTTGGCGCTAGCCATTGATTAATCGCGGTGTGACTTTTTTTTCTTTTTCTGCAGGTTTTACAGGCCATGGGATACCCAACTGGTTTTGACACAGATATGGAGTGTCTTAGTTCAGATGAGAAATCAGATAATGAAGGCAAGAACGAGACAATCTCATCGAATTCCAGCAATAACACGGGGAGCTCCAGTACAGACAGCTCCAACACAGTGGAGGTGAGTGCAGGCCGGAGATAGGAGAGCCAACCAAACAGAGGTCACTGTGCTGCAGATTCTCACACGTGGAACCCAAAAATGGGCCCTTTGGGCATTTGTCCTGGTAATCATTTTAATGAATTGCTGATTAACCCCTCGCCTACCAGGCACTGTCACCCCCTTCCTGCCCGGGCCAATTTTCCGCTTTCAGCGCTGTCGCACTTTGAATGACAATTGCGCGGTCATGCAACACTGGACCCATGTGACATTTTTATCATTTTTTTCACACTAATAGAGCTTTCTTGTGGTATTTAGTCGCCGTTGGGGGGTTTATTTTTTGTGCTATAAATGAAAAAAGAGCAAAAAGTTTGAAAAAAAGAGAGTTTGCAAACAGGTAATTATTCTCCTTCACTGTTGTGCATTGATGTGGCTGCACCGATGGGCGCTGGCGAGGCGGCACTGGTGGGCGCTGGCTGGCGAGGCGGCACTGGTGGGCGCTGGCGAGGCGGCACTGGTGGGCGCTGGCGAGGCGGCACTGGGGGCGCTGGCGAGGCGGCACTGGTGGGCGCTGGCGAGGCGGCACTGGTGGGCGCTGGCGAGGCGGCACTGGTGGGCGCTGGCGAGGCGGCACTGATAGGCAGCACTGATGAGGCGGCACTGATAGGCAGCACTGATGAGGCGGCACTGATAGGCAGCACTGATGAGGCGGCACTGATAGGCAGCACTGATGAGGCGGCACTGATAGGCAGCACTGATAGGCAGCACTGATGAGGCGGCACTGATAGGCGGCACTGATAGGCAGCACTGATGAGGCGGCACTGATAGGCAGCACTGATAGGCAGCACTGATGAGGCGGCACTGATAGGCAGCACTGATGAGGCGGCACTGATAGGCAGCACTGATGAGGCGGCACTGATAAGTAGCACTGATGAGGGGGCACTAAGTAGCACTGATAGGTAGCACTGGAGGCAGCAGTGGTAGGCCTTGATGAGGGGGGACTGATGATTTACTGATATGTGGCACTGATGATGCACTGATATGCGGCACTGATGATGCACTAATGAAATGAAATGGTGTAGCGTTCTATCTATATTAAACATTTCAACAGGTATACATATAATATATAGATCAAAATAAGTGTATAAAGATTACATACAAAAATGTGATCAGGGTTCACCCTGAGGAAGTCACGTGGTGAGCGTGACGCAACGCGTAGGTGCCCGGTGACATAGTTCCGGCGGACGCCATCTTGGTATACCCAAATCCATGCAGAGTACACCCATAACGTGGTGTGAATGTTTATGTATATCTGCTGACAAGTGAGTGGAAATTTGGCGTTTTGTTATACACATAAAATAAATCGTGTTACACGATGGAAGATCTTTCTTCTTCTTCTATGGCATTAATGTGATCCATGTGAGTGAGTTGGCTGCATTGCGGTACCTATCTCTTGAAGGGGAACCTGCGATGTTTAGGAGCCACCATTGATGGAGATTTTCTTTGGATATCGTTTATTGAGGAGTTACTGCCCGTGAAGGATCCTGGTGTGATCCGAAAGGCGCGTTGGCCCATTGGGTCCCGGTAAGGAGGTGAGGGGGCATTTTAGCCATTTAAGGATTCACATCGACTTGCACATTCATGCACCGCATCACCTGCATGTCCTTGAAAATCGGATCACATTTTGCAGATTTCCACTTTTACAATTTTTATGTATATTTCATTATACAGTTTTTTTTTCTATATATGGATTGTTGAGATTTTACAGTTTTTTTGGGTGATGTTTTTCAGGTGTATATTGTATATTTGAGTTTGAGCACACTTATCACTTTATTCAGGATTTATCCCCATTTTAGGGATACACTGTTTATTGCACTTCTATCCATGTTTCTTTAATCCCAGTTTTGGGATTGGGGGGGGCTTTATTTGAATATTCACTATATATTGGGTCCAATATTGGACCAATTTGTTTCATTCACGTCTTTTTCACGTTTTGTGTCACATTATAGTGTGTCATAGATCCCTGGAGGATCAGATCACTTTTTTGTATGTTATGGGTGTACTCTGCATCGATTTCGGTAAACCAAGATGGCGTCCGCCGGAACTACGTCACCGCGCACCTACGCGTTGCGTCATGCTCACCACGTGACTTCCTCAGGGTGAACCCTGATCGCATTTTTGTATGTAATCTTTATACACTTATTTCGATCTATTTATTATGTATATTTATTGACATGTTTAATATAGATAGAGTGCTACACATTTTTATTATTTTATTCACCTAAGGGTATAGAATTTGGTGTTAGCAGCTGTTTGTTATCACTTATTCATTTGAAGCGCAGGAGGATTATTACTTAATATTCACTGATGATGCACTGGTATGCGGCACTGATGATGCACTGGTATGCGGCACTGATGATGCACTGGTATGCGGCACTGATGATGCACTGGTATGCGGCACTGATTGGCGGCACCGACGGGCACTCCTGCTGGGTGGCATTTCTGTGACAGGGTGAGGAAAGTGCAGCCGATAACCGGCAACTGTATTTACATTGTGATCTGCTGTGTCATTGGACACAGCTGATCACAGATCGGGGTAAAGGAGCAATCACAGGTGCCCTTTACCATGTGATCAGCTGTGTCACAATCACAGCTGTTCACATGTAAACTGACATGTCGGTTATCATCAGTCCTTTCCTCACACTCTGTGTCTGTGTGAGGAAAGGAGAGCCAATAACCGGCAAGGTTGTCAGTAAATTGTTCACATTGATAATCAATGCAGCCTATCAGTGGTCACCAGTGCCGCCTCGTCAGCACCCATCAGTGCCGCCTCGTTAGTGATTAAGAAAAATATGTTCTTTGCTAAGGAGGTGCACGTTGGGCACGCTCCTTGACCTCTGTGTCTGTGTGAGGAAAGGAGAGCTGATAATAAGTGCAGCTTATCAATGCTCATCAGTGCTGCCTGATCAGTGCCCATCAATGCAGCTTTTATTAGTGCACATCAGTGCAAGCATCATCAGCGCCCATCAGTGCAGCCTCATCAGTTCCTCCTCATCAGCGCCCATCAATGCAGCCTCATCAGTTCCTCCTCTTCAACGCCCATCAATGCAGCCTCGTCACTTCCTCCTCATCAGTGCCCATCAATGCAGCCTCGTCACTTCCTCCTCATCAGTGCCCATCAATGCAGCCTCGTCACTTCCTCCTCATCAGTGCCCATCAATGCAGCCTCGTCACTTCCTCCTCATCAGTGCCCATCAATGCAGCCTCGTCAGTTCCTCCTCATCAGCGCCCATCAATTCAGCCTCGTCAGTTCCTCCTCATCAGCGCCCATCAATTCAGCCTCGTCAGTTCCTCCTCGTCAGCGCCAATCAATTCAGCCTCGTCAGTTCCTCTTCGTCAGCGCCCATCAATGCAGCCTCGTCAGTTCCTCCTCATCAGCGCCCATCAATTCAGCCTCGTCAGTTCCTCTTCGTCAGCGCCCATCAATGCAGCTTCGTCAGTGCCCATCAGTGCAGCCTCATCAGTTCCTCCTCATCAGCGCCCACCAATGCAACCTTTATTAGCGCCCATCAGTGCAGCCTCATCAGTTCCTCCTCATCAGCGCCCATCAATGCAGCCTCATCAGTTCCTCCTCATCAGCGCCCATCAATGCAACTTTTATTAGTGCCCATCAGTGAAGAAGAAAAATAAGTTATTTGCAAAATTTTATCACAGAAACTAAGAAAACTGTTTTTCTTTTTTCAAAATTTCAGGGGTTTTTTTTGTTTGTTTAGCAAAAAATAAAAATCCCAGTGGTGGTTAAATACCACCGAAGGAAAGCTCTATCGGTATTGAAATTGTTAAAAGGTTGAGAGAGGCTGGGTTTGAGGTTCTCCCGCACATAAAATCTATAAAAGCCTGTCTGTATTCCATCGATCGGGACTTGCTGACATCAGTGAGGTCCTGAAGGACATGAATGTTCGCTTTGATCGGCGCCTCCTTCACCGAGGAGCAGGAATAGTTCACGCTCTACAATTGCAGGAATGATCCCTTTAGGAAGAGCGTAGGGTGACCGGATTATATGAGCCCCTTGCTTGGGTTTCCAGGTAGTGACAGTTTAGTATTAGCTAAGTGCTGCTTTGTAACCGAAGACCAGAAGAACCTGTTTGTGCTGCAGCAGCCGAACGTATATTTATCCCGTCATTAGCCAGCACACTGGTATTTAATCCTTAAAGCTTCCTACCTGAACTCTCCCAAGTGCCCCAGCAGTGTAATGTCAAGAGTCATCTTTGTGCAGTTTCATTGCACAGCGCTTCCGTGTCAGCTGATAATTGTCAGCTTTTGTCTGATACATCCATCCTACACATCTCTACATTCATCCCACCAGACCGAGATCTGAACTGCATCCTGCACATCTCCACATTCATCTCACCAGACCGAGATCTGAACTACATTCTACACATCTCCACATTCATCCCACCAGACCGAGATCTGAACTGCATCCTACACATCTCCACATTCATCCCACCAGACCGAGATCTGAACTGCATCCTACACATCTCCACATTCATCCCACCAGACCGAGATGTGAACTGCATCCTACACATCTCCACATTCATCCCACCAGACCGAGATCTGAACCGCATCCTGCACATCTCCCCATTCATCCCACCAGACCGAGATCTGAACTGCACCCTACACATCTCCCCATTCATCCCACCAGACCGAGATCTGAACTGCATCCTACACATCTCCACATTCATCTCACCAGACCGAGATCTGAACTGCATTCTACACATCTCCCCATTTATCCCACCAGACCAAGATCTGAACCGCATCCTACACATCTCCCCATTTATCCCACCAGACCAAGATCTGAACCGCATCCTACACATCTCCCCATTTATCCCACCAGACCAAGATCTGAACCGCATCCTAAACATCTCCCCATTTATCCCACCAGACCAAGATCTGAACCGCATCCTACACATCTCCGCCTTCATCCCACCAGACCGAGATCTGAACCGCATCCTACACATCTCCCCATTCCTCCCACCAGACCGAGATCTGAACCGCATCCTACACATTTCCGCCTTCATCCCACCAGATCGAGATCTGAACCGCATCCTACACATCTCCCCATTCATCCCACCAGACCGAGAGATCTGAACCGCATCCTACACATCTCCGCCTTCATCCCACCAGACCGAGATCTGAACTGCATCCTACACATCTCCCCATTCATCCCAGCAGACCGAGATCTGAACCGCATCCTACACATCTCCGCCTTCATCCCACCAGACCGAGATCTAACTGCATCCTACACATCTCCACATTCATCACACCAGACCGAGATCTGAACCGCATCCTACGCATCCTCCGCATTCATCCGCATTCATCCCACCAGACCGAGATCTGAACCGCATCCTACACATCTCCCCATTCATCCCACCAGACCGAGATCTGAACCAAATCCTACACATCTCCGCATTCATCCCACCAGACCGAGATCTAACTGCATCCTACACATCTCCACATTCATCACACCAGACCGAGATCTGAACCGCATCCTACGCATCTCCGCATTCATCCCACCAGACCGAGATCTGAACCGCATCCTACACATCTCCACATTCATCCCCACCAGACCGAGATCTAACTGCATCCTACACATCTCCGCATTCATCCCACCAGACCGAGATCTGAACCGCATCCTACACATCTCCGCATTCATCCCACAGACCGAGATCTGAACCGCATCCTGCACATCTCCCCATTCATCCCACCAGACCGAGATCTGAACCGCATCCTACACATCTCCGCCTTCATCCCACCAGACCGAGATCTAACTGCATCCTACACATCTCCACCTTCATCCCACCAGACCGAGATCTGAACCGCATCCTACACATCTCCCCATTCATCCCACCAGACCGAGATCTGAACCGCATCCTACACATCTCCGCCTTCATCCCACCAGACCGAGATCTAACTGCATCCTACACATCTCCACATTCATCACACCAGACCGAGATCTGAACCGCATCCTACGCATCTCCGCATTCATCCCACCAGACCGAGATCTGAACCGCATCCTACACATCTCCCCATTCATCCCACCAGACCGAGATCTGAACCAAATCCTACACATCTCCACATTCATCCCACCAGACCGAGATCTAACTGCATCCTACACATCTCCACATTCATCACACCAGACCGAGATCTGAACCGCATCCTACGCATCTCCGCATTCATCCCACCAGACCGAGATCTGAACCGCATCCTACACATCTCCCCATTCATCCCACCAGACCGAGATCTGAACCAAATCCTACACATCTCCGCATTCATCCCACCAGACCGAGATCTGAACCGCATCCTACACATCTCCGCATTCATCCCACAAGACCGAGATCTGAACCGCATCCTACACTTCTCCACATTCATCCCACCAGACCGAGATCTGAACCGCATCCTGCACATCTCCCCATTCATCCCACCAGACCGAGATCTGAACCGCATCCTACACATCTCCCCATTCATCCCACCAGACCGAGATATGAACTGCATCCTACACATCTCCCATTCATCCCACCAGACCGAGATATGAACTGCATCCTGCACATCTCCACATTCATCCCACCAGACCGAGATCTGAACCATATCCTACACATCTCCACATTCATACCACCAGACCAAGATCTAACTGCATCCTACACATCTCCACATTCATCACACCAGACCGAGATCTGAACCGCATCCTACGCATCTCCGCATTCATCCCACCAGACCGAGATCTGAACCGCATCCTACACTTCTCCACATTCATCCCACCAGACCGAGATCTGAACTGCATCCTGCACATCTCCCCATTCATCCCACCAGACCGAGATCTGAACCACATCCTACACATCTCCACATTCATCCCACCAGACCGAGATATGAACTGCATCCTGCACATCTCCACATTCATCCCACCAGACCGAGATCTGAACCATATCCTACACATCTCCACATTCATCCCACCAGACCGAGATCTGAACCACATCCTACACATCTCCACATTCAGAATTAGAATAGTTTTTCACATTTTAGAATGGGGTTCCTCAAGACTGTCCATAGTTTTAAAAGGTGCCTCTGGATTGTCCATCATTTTTTAGGGTGCTTGACTGAAAAAAGGTTGAGAAACACTGGACTAGACTACCACAGAACCAAAGTATCTCAGAAATCTGAAGATGGGCTGTGAAATATTTATCAAAGGGATAAATACAAAAGGCTGACCCGCCGTATACATTGTCTGCGGAGTGTATTTTCTCCAGATACTGTACCGAAGAACATCCTGTATACAAGGCCAATAGCTGACTCCTACCATGATGTAAAGAAGATGAATAATGAATGAAGGATTCTTTTCTAAACTCTCCGCCTGCTTAGCTCACAGATGTTCCATTGACTGTTTACTCGGAGGCCATGCTGCACGGGTTGCTCGATTTAATTTGTGTGCTTGTAGTAATTACTTGCAGCATTTATTAGCACGAAGCTGTCTGCCGCTGTCTTAGGAGCCACTCTAAGTTATCACAACTTCTTATTAAATTAGAGAATAAATAATTCAGTTAAAAGGTTTTGGTTAAAAATCAATGTGTTGGCTTTTACACGGCGCGTAATAATGGTTTAGTTCACAGCACAAAATACTGATTTTGGAGTCAATATTTGAATTTTTATTTATTTTACAGGTCCGTACTCAGGGTCCTATCCTTACCGCCAGTGGAAAAAACCCTGTTATGGAACTGAATGAAAAGAGGCGAGGCCTTAAATATGAGTTGATATCAGAGAGCGGAGGAAGCCATGACAAACGGTTTGTAATGGAGGTGAGTAGTAATCATCCAGAGGGGTCAGCACCTCTGAAGTTTCTGGCTTGGAAAGGTTGCAATAAGGACTGGTCTTCCCAAGAAAATCTAATCTTGGGACTTGATTTTGACAAGGTTCTCTCCTCTGGTCCAAGTCAACGGCTAATTCCTCTCTTCAGGTATTAATCATCTCCTGACTTGTTCCCACATATAGTAGTATGAGAACTTCTTATTTCCAGTTTCTTGATGTTTTTCCATAAACCATACTGCAGCCTTTGTCAACCGTTTTGCTAAGGAGGAAACCCCTGAAATAGTTTTCAGGTCTGAAGGAACCCAAATTAAAAATTTTAGACCTACAGCTCATGGTATAGTAGTGGGATCAGTAGGATGTTGAGAGTTTTAAATCTGAGTAGAGAATTGGGTTTACTTAATAATCAAGAATCGCTGGGATTCCTCCTGAATAGGGGTTACTGGATAACTAACTTTGGGGATTCCTTTGGAATAGGGTGTTACAGAATAACCAACCTCGGGGATTCCTCCTGATGGGGTTTACTTAATGACCAACTTCTGGGATTCTTCCTGATGGGGTTTACTTAATATCCAACCTCCAGGATTTCTCCTGATGGGGTCTACTGAATACCAACCTCTGGGATTCCTGCTGATGAGGTTTACTTAACCAACCTCTGGCATTACTCCTGATAAGGTTTACTTAACCAACCTCTGGGATTCCTCCTGAATGGGTTTTACCTAGTAACCAACCTCATGGGATTCCTCCTGAATGGGTTTTACCTAGTAACCAACCTCCTTGGATTCCTCCTGAATGGGTTTTACCTAGTAACCAACCTCTGGGGTTCCTCCTGATAAGGTTTACTTAACCAGCCTCTTTGATTCCTCCAGATAAGGTTACTAACCAACCTCCAGGGATTCCTTCCTGAATTGGTTTTACCTTAACCAACCTCTGGGTTCCTCCTGATGAATTAACCAACCCTCGTTGCGGATTCCTACCTGATAAGGTTTACTTAACCAACCTGCATGATTCCTCCTGGGGTACCTAAACCTGAGGATTCCTCCTGATCAATGTTTACTTAACCAGCCTCTTGGATTCCTCCTGATAAGGTTTACTTAACCAGCCCCTTGGAGGGTTTCCTCCTGGGGTTTTCCTCCTGATGAAGTTTTACTTGTACCAACCTCTTGGTTCCTCCTGATGCAGGTTTAACTTTTTACAAAACCAAGAATTCCTCCCTGATGGGGTTTACTGGATTATACCAACCTCTTAGATTTCCTGTTCTGATAATGTTTACTTAACCAACCTCTTGGGGATTCCTCCATAAATGGGGATTTCCCTATAACCAACCTCTGGGTTCCTCCTGATGAATTTTACTTAACCAACCTCCTTGGATTCCTCCTATAAGGTTTACTCAACCGACTTCTGGATTCCCTCCTGAGTGGGGGTTTACCTAATTACCCAACTTCTGGGAGTTCCTTCTGAATGGCGTTATTACCTAATAACCAACCTCCGGGATTCCTCTTGATGGGGTGATTTATTAACCAACTTCTGGAATTTCTTCTGATGGGCGTTTATTAAATCAACCTCCGGATTCCTCCTGAATAGTTTACTTAATAAACCAACCTCTGGATTCCCTCCTGAATGTGGGTTTACCTAATAACCAACCTCTGATTTCCACCTAAATGATGTTACTAATAATGAACCTCGTGAGTTCCTCCAGGGTTGCAAAGGGACTCCTTGAGAACAGAGCTTCTCTAGAAACCCCCTGCAACCTCTGCAAAAGCTCAGGGTTTTCCGCGGAACCCTGTTGAGGCAGGCTGCCATACTTTGGCTACAGAGAGATAAGAGGTCATTCTTGAGCTTAGGACAGTAGAGTCAATATTATCATTAGCCTTGATCCAACCATTTTTTATGGGTTATCGGGCTTTGGTCACCACATTAACTGGTCTACTGTTTCTGTTAAGTGTCTGGCATCCCTAGCTTGTCCCGACCTCAGCTAGTGGTAAGATGGACCCAACATTTCCAGTGTGTTGTTCTTTTTCTACAGTTGTATGTTACTATTAGGAGTCAAAGGACATCTTCAGCTTAGGACATTCAGAACCAAAAGTATCAGTTAGCCTAGATCCCAACCACTTTTTGATTGGGTAATTGCTTTCCCGGGCCCGAGATCAGCTTGCAGGGTTGTGACCCCCTACTAATAGTGGTCAGTCATGCTCTTTAATGTATTTTGGTGAACAACGTAGATATAGAACGTCTCCTCCAAAACAGCCCGGAAGAGTAACAGAAAAATTGTTCTAAACCGCCTCCTAAAATATTGGCTTCAGACCCTCCAATATTCGAATTAAGAAAAGCTGGAACTCGGCAGTAAAATACCCCGGAACATCGTGAAACGAGCGCTCAGCTCTGCTGAGGTCACATGTTGGAATGCCTGGTATCCGGTATAGTGTCCAGCTTCGCTATTTGTATCGGCTTCTATTTAACAGCGATTCTTTTTCTTTTCTCACGCAGTTTATTGGGCTATATTGATAATATGGCAGAAGCTTCCTCAAAAGCGAACATGCCCACAGCTTTAAATAGTATATTCTAGATATTGCAGTCTTTTTTTTGTTACAGAATGATAGGTGGAAAAATATTTTATGGTTGGAATTAAATGATTTAACCCCGGGTGCCAATTTAGCAGTATCAGCATGAGCTGGTAAACGCAGCAATAACTCTATGACTGAATTTGCATACCTAATTATTTCTACATTATTCTAGAACTCTGCTGCGATCCTATCTGGTATAACGCTTTCAATAAAAAACAAAAAAAAAAATTTAAAAAAAAAAAAAAAAAAAAAAAAAAAAAAAAAAAAAAAAAAATGTAAAAAAAAAATAAAAAAAAAAAAAAAAAAAAAAAAAAAAAAAAAAAAAAAAAAAAATAAAAAAAAAAAAAAATAAAAAATAAAAAAAATAAAAAAAAAATTACCAAAAAATAGAAAAAATTATATAAAAAAAAAAAAAAACTTAATAAATTAAAAAAAAATATAATGGTTTTAAATAAAAAAAAAAAATATAAATAAATTAAGTAAAATACAAATAAAAAAAAAAATATATTAATCACATTAAAAAAAATAATTATTTAAACCTGAAAATAATAAAAATAAAAAAAAAATTATTTAAAAATAAATTTAATTAAAAAAATTAATAAAGATTAAAATAAAAAATATATAATCAATAAAAAAAATAAAAATTTAAAAATACCATATAAAATATAAAAATTTTAAAAAAATTTTATAAATATGACTAAAAAAAATAATAAAATGAAATAATATTTAAAAATCAAATATCAAAAAAAATTAATATAAAAAATAAAATTTAAATTAAATAAAATACAAAAAAACATAAAAAATTTAATGAAAAAAAAAAAATATAAAAAAAAATAAAAAAATTAAATAAAATAAAAAAAAAATTAAAAAATAAAAAATATAAAAAATTATAAAAAAAAAATTAAATAATTATAATAAAATTCCTAAAAAAAAAAAAAAAATAAAAAAATAAAAAAAAAATAAGATTAAAAAATATAAAAAAATAATCTAAATAATAAATAATTAAAAATTAAATAAATTTAATAAAATATAAATAATAAAAAAAATAAATAAAAAAAAAAAAAAAAAAAATAAAAAATAAAAAAAAATAAAAAAAAAATAAATTATTAAATAGTATATAAAAAAAATTATATAAAAAAAAATAAAAAAAAAATAAAAAAATAAAAAAAATAAAAAAAAAAAAATATAGTAATAAATAATAAAAAAAACAAAAAAAAAAATATAAAATAAATTAAATAAATCTTTAATAATTAAATAAAATTAAAAACCTATATTAAAAATTAAAAAAAAATAAAATTTGTAAAATAAAAAAAAATTAATTAAAAAAATATTATTAGTTTAATAAAAATACAATACAGAAAAATAAAAAAAAATTAAAATAATAAAAAAATATAAAAATTTATTTATAAAAAATTCATTAATAAATAATATTACGAAAAGTTAAATTAAAAATAAAATAAAAAATTAAAAAAAATTTTTATTAAAAAATAACAATTAAATAAAATATAATTTTAAAAATCTAAATAAAAAAAATAAAAATATAAAAAAATAATTGATAAATAAATATAAATAAAAAAAAAATAAATAATAATATAAAAAAAAAAAAATATAATAAAAAAATAGTAATAAAAAAAATTAAAAATTAAAAAAATAAAAAAAACTAAATAAAAAATAAAAATTTAAATTAAAAAATAAAAAATAAAATATTAAAAAAAAAATGAATAAAAAATAATATAAAAATTATTGAATATAATTAAGTGTAATCTTAAATAATAAAAAAAAAAATATTTTAAAAAAAAATTAAAAAAAAAATGTTATAAAAAAATAAATATATTGAAAAAATAAATTAATAAATAAAATATTATAAAAAATAATAATCCAAAAAAAAAAATCAATTAAAATAAAATAAATAAATAAACATTAAAAAAATATAGCAAAATAAAAAAATAAAAAAAATAAAAAAGAAAATAAAAAAAAAATATAAAAAAAAATTAAAAAAATAAAAAAGTATTAAAAAATAATAATTAGCGAAATAAATAAAATAAAATATAAAAAAAAAATTAAAAATAAAAAAGTAATAATTTTAATAAAAAAATTCTTGCTTTTTTTAAAAATAAAAAATTGAATTAAAAAATAAATTACAAAGTGTCAAAAAATAAAATTTAAATATAATAAATAAAAAAATATTAATTTAATATTTTATTGTTAAAAATAATTATGTTTTTTAAAAAAAAAATTACCTACAATGTGAATGTCAGACCCCCTATATTTCTTTAGTGGGAGAAAATTGCAAAAAAAATTAATGTTAAATACTTCTGTTCCTCACAAATAAAATGTTGTTATTAATTTTATTTAAAAAATTTAAAAATTTTAAAAAATAAAAATATAAAAATAAATATAAATAAATAAAAACACACAACATGTAAATTTTATTTTTAATATATAAAAAAAAAAAAATATAAAAAATAATAAATTAAATATTTTTTTTTTAAATTTATATATTTAATATATATCACAAAAATTATATCTATAAAATAAATAAAATTAAATAAAGAAAAAAAAAAAAATAAAAATATAATAAATTATAAATAAATAATAAATAATAAAGCTAAAATATTTTTTGAATAAATTTTTAATAATGGACCTCCTATCCTGCATGAAATTAAAAACTTGTAAATAGCTACAAAATTGATTAATTATATAAGAAAAAAATAAATATATCATTAAAAAAAAAAAAAAATTGGATCTGACAAAAAAAGATAAATTGGCTGCTGTAAAGGGAAATAGAATAAAATCCTAAAAGGCAGTAAATAAAAAAGTATTGAAAAAAAACATTAATAAAACAGAATGCAGCAAAAAAAAAAAAATAATAAAAAACAAAAATTAAATGTAAATTAAATTGATTGGTAAAAAAATATAATTGGTCAGCCCATTATCATTTTATACTTTTATTTGCTTGCTAAAATAATAAATTTAGATAAAAAAAAATGAAAACTAATATAATTTTCCGTATAAATGTTTAAAAATAGGTGCCTAAAAAATAGCAAGAAAACGAAGTTAAATTAAAAATCAGCAGGAAAGCTGCAAAAAAATAAAATAGTTTATAAAATAAAAATTAAAGTGTTGCTTAATTTTGCGATTTTTAAGCAACCTAAATTTAAAATTATTCTGTGAAAATTTAAAAATTACAAATAAAATTACGTTTCAATTAAATAAAAACAAAAAAAGGTGGGCGTTAATGCCTAAAAATATACATGTTATAAATTTGTGCTATAATTATAAATATCATAAAATTAAATAAAAATAAATAAATCTTAATCTAATCTATATATAAATAAAATAATATCTAGCAAATAAATTAAAAAAAATAAATAAATTAAAAATAAATATAAATATGTATTATTTAAAAAAAACATTTATTTTTTTAAAAAAATATAATATATATAAAAATAAAAATATAAAATATATTTATAAAAAAATAATATTTTTATAAAAAAAATAAAAGAAAAAAAAAATAAAATAAATTATAAATAAATACAAAATAAAAAATAAAAATATAAAAACAAATATAAAAATATATATATATAAAAAATAAAAATAAAAAAAAAAATAATAATAAAATAAAAAAAACTTAATAAAAACTTATATAATATTGGATGTAAAATTAAAAAAAAAAATTATTTTTTTTTTTTTTATATATATATATATATATATATTTATATATATATATATATAATAAAAAATTAAAAATAAATAAAAAGTTATTTATTTATATATAGATATCATATATATATATATATATATATATATATATATATATATATATATAAATATACATATATTATATAATATATATATTATATATATATTATATTTGTGTATAATATATATATTCATATTGTGTGTGTATATATAACTTTATATTATATTTACTTTTATATTACGTTTTATATATATATATAAATATATATATTATATATATATTTTTTTTTAGCATCACAGAATTTTTGCCTTGGTATAAGTGTACTCTCCCCTCCACTTCCCCTTCCTAGTTCTGCACATAATGGCGCAGGGTTTGGTCTCAGCAGAATCCTGCGGCACATCTACAATCTTGCACATGGATGAGGAGGGTAAGAAGAAAGGTCCTGTACCCCGCCATGCCTTCAGATCATGCAAAACATGCCGCTGGGCTCTGCAAGGACGCAAAAGGCCAGGAAGGAGCCATTCGGAACATCCTCATGTACACACCAGAAAAATAAAGATGATGAGGGTGGGCAGGGCAAAAAAATAAAAATGGGACCACAGTTTTTCCTCCTATATAATATCCATCCCATAACATTTTATTTTGGTAAGCATTGTGTTTTGGGTTTTTTTTAACGATGCCCTCCAGAACCATTGTGAAGCGCTAAGGCTTTTCAGAAAATTGGGTTGGTTTCAAGTAAAGATAAAATCTGTAAATTTTCTATTTCCCAAATTTTTTTTTTTTATTTTTTTTTTCAGGTGGAGGTGGACGCTCAGAAGTTCAGGGGTGCCGCCCAAACAAAAAGGTAGCAAAAGCCAGTGCAAAGCCCTGGCTGCCCTAGAGAAGCTCTTCTCTGGTCCAAACGCAGCGAATAACAAGAAGAAAAAGATTATTCCACAGGTGAGAACTTTGAGACGAGTATAGCGAGGAGAGCGAGTGCACAACTGGCAATTCAAAAAATTCACAATTTTTTAAAATGTTTTTTTTTTTTTTTTCTTGTGTTTTGAAATGTACATATATTTCCATTTTGATCAAGTTTTGAGTTGAGAAACAACACTCAGATCCAAAGCTTCGCTCAAGACTGGCCTTCCCTGCACATGAGCAACCTGGGTGCCGGTCATCACAGTCCATATCCACTCTTCACTGAAAATAGGAAAAAAAGTCAGATACAATTAGCTCTTCTTGTGGTGTTTGTAAAGATCAGTGCGTTGGCCAACCCAAAACCAACCTTCTTTTGATGCATTTCACCACTTCTGGCTTGCTCACAAGGATAGGATCTCCAACCCAAAACCAACCTTCCTTGACACATTTCACCACTTATGGTTTTGCTCACAAGAATAGGGTCTCCAACCCAAAACCAACCTTCTTTGATGCATTTCACCACTTCTGGCTTGCTCACAAGAATAGGGTCTCCAACCTAAAACCAACCTTCTTTGACGCATTTCACCACTTCTGGCTTGCTCACAAGAATAGGGTCTCCAACCCAAAACCATCCTTCTTTGACACATTTCACCACTTATGGCTTGCCTTAAAAGATAGGATCTCCAACCCAAAACCAACCTTCCTTGACACATTTTACCACTTCTGGCTTGCTCACAAGGATAGGGCCTCCAACCCAAAACCAACCTTCCTTGACACATTTCACCACTTATGGCTTGCTCACAAGGACAGGAATTCTTCTGAGCAAGCCAGAAGTGGTGAAACGCGTCGAAGGTTGGTTTTGGGTTGGAGACATCACTGTACATGGTTCCTTTTGTTGGGCTGCTGTGCGATATTAACGCCTTGTTCACATGAATGTACCGATTGTCCACCTGGATGAAGGGCTGTCTTCACCCGCATGGGGATGCACAAGTGTTCCATGCAGACCTGTGGAGGCAGCCGGCCTCACAGACCTCCAAGTGCGATCCTCGAGTGTGTATGTGCTCGCAGGTCTGATGCATGGTCTGTATCCTGATCTGTGTGTTATTCCCACATGGCTGCACACTCCAGGACATGCGTGGAGATCCATGCAGCTGGCTGCCTGTTATCGATCTTTTGTGGATCTGTGCTCGGGGAGGGAATATATATTCTGCATATTTCTGAAATGTTTACCTGAACAGACGATGAAATAGAACATCTCTGTATTATTAAAAGAGGAGTTTTTAAAAAATGGGCGGAGGGGCGGGGATTTCAATGCAGGAGAGACGTGGGAGAGACGTGCTTTGTCTCTGTTACTTCCCTGTGTGGTGAGTCGCACAGGCGCGGCGCTCTGTACAAATTCTGACTGAGCTCCTGCACATGCTCGGGGGTACTAGCACTGATGAAGGCTCTGTAAATTGATGGCTATATGTCTGCTATACAACAGCCGTTCAGGATGCACCAAAAGGGGGGGGGGGGGGGGGGGCGATTTGCATGGCTCCGCCCACTTACCTATAAGCGGGAACGGAGCTCTTTGATTTTTGGGGTTTTGTGCTGGAAGTATAAATGTTCTGTTATTTTATTGATTTATTTCAGGTACTTTTATAGTGCTTTACATATATATATATATATATATATATATATATATATATATAGTACATTCACATCAGTCCCCGCCCCTGAGGAGCCTACAATCTAAGGTCCCTAACTCACATTCATACATACACATACTAGGGCCAATTTAGACAGGAGCCAATTAACCTACCAGCATGTCTTTGGAAATGTGGGAGGAAACTGGAGCACCCAGAGGAAACCCACGCAGGCACAGGGAGAACATGCAAACTCCAGGCAGGTGGTGCCGTGGTTGGGATTTGGGATCAGGCGGAAGTGCTAACCACTCAGCCACTGTGCTGCCCAGTTATCAGAAGGCAATGCTGGATATCCTAAAGTGGAACAATACTCACCTTGGATCCAGTGATGCTCCGCCCCAGAGCTCCCCGCCCTGGCGCTGACATCTTCAGGCGGCTGGCTTACCGGTCTCGATCGCTGGCCTCTGTCATGTGCGGGGCGGGGACGACGTCACCCCCGCACATGTGCAGGAGCACAGTCAGAATTTATACAGAGTGCTGCACCACCGCACAGGGAAGTAGCAGAGACAAAGCACATCTCTCCCGCATTAAAATCCCGTCCGTCCATTTTTTAAAAATTCCTCTTTTAATAATGCAGAGATGTTCTATTTCATTGTCTGTTCAGGTAAAACATTTCAGACACAGGAAGAATATATATTCCCTCCCTGAGCAGATCCACAAAAGACTCGCCGGGTCATAAATATGCTGCAGATTTCAGCTGATGGAGAAGAAAGCCTCCTCAGAGATGTGTAAATCAGGGAGCAGAACTTGTGCGCGTTCCTCTTCTGCTGTTATTGGGTGTTTGCAGACTGAATTAATTGCACGCTTACGGCTTCATTACCATCACAAAGCCCGGCCCGGATTTATTTGGGAACTTTCCAGCTCGGCCTCTTTCATTTCGCGGCGGGGAGATGCGCTCTCCTCTGGTTGTTCGAGTTTCTTCCCAGACAGAACAGGAAGCGGCAGAGCGGGTCTTGTCCCTGTTCAGCTGTTAAATATCGGGGGGAGGAAATGTGAGGTTTTTGTGTGAAAGTCCTGCACATCCAGGTCCAGGAAGTCAGATTTACATACAGCTGGGATCTGTCTGCGTCACTACCGTGCAGAAATGGAGGAAGAAATGCTGGAAGCCCAACGCCACGCCTAATGTCCCTTTTCAAGTGGCTAAGTGGTTAGCACTTCCACCTGGCAGTACTAGGGTGGTCGGTTTGAATCCCAACCACGGCACATCCTGCATGGAGTTTGCATGTTCTCCCTGTGCCTGTGTGGGTTTCCTCCGGGTACTGCGGTTTCTTCTCACATTCCAAAGACATGCTGGGAGGTGAATTAGCTCCTGTCTAAATTGTCCCTAGTATGTGTATGTATGAATGTGAGCTTACATGGAAGAAAAATGTATTTTAAAAATATTCTTCCAAAATATATTGACATATATTTGAAATACTACAATTTTGGCCGTATTCAATATATTAAAAAAAAAAAAATATATACAGTCATGGCCGAAATTGTTGGCACCCTTGATATTTTTCCTGAAAATCAAGTATTTCACACAAAAAAGGTTTTGCATTAACACATGTTTTGCTATACACATGTTTATTCCCTTTGTATGTATTGGAACAAATATAAAACAGAGGCAGAAAAGCAAATATGACATAATGTCACACACAAAACCCCAAAAATGGGCTGGACAAAAGTATTGGCACCCTTAACTTAATATTTGGTTGCACACCCTTTGGAAAACATAACTGAAATCAGTCGCTTCCTATAACCATCAATAAGCTTCTGACACCTCTCACCCGGAATTTTGGACCACTCTTCCTTTGCAAACAGCTCCAGGTCTCTCTTATTGGAAGGACACCTTTTCCCAACAGCAATTTTAAGATCTCTCCACAGGTGTTCAATGGGATTTAGATCTGGGCTCATTGCTGGCCACTTCAGAACTCTCCAGCGCTTCTTTGCCATCCATTTCTGAGTGCTTTTTGACGTATGTTTGGGGTCATTGTCCTGCTGGAAGACCCAGGATCTTGGACGCAAACCCAGCTTTCTGACACTGGGCCCTACAGTGCGACCCAAAATCCTTTGGTAATCCTCAGATTTCATGATGCCTTGCACACAGTCAAGGCACCCAGTGCCAGAGGCAGCAAAACAACCCCAAAACATCATTGAACCTCCACCATATTTTACCGTAGGTACTGTGTTTTGTTCTTTGTAGGCCTCATTCCGTTTTCGGTAAACAGTAGAATGATGTGCTTTACCGAAAAGCTCTATCTTGGTCTCATCTGTCCACAAGACGTTTTCCCAGAAGGCTTTTGGCTTACTCAAGTACATTTTGGCAAACTGTAGTCTTGCTTTTTTATGTCTCTGTGTCAGCAGTGGGGTCCTCCTGGGTCTCCTGCCATAGCGTTTCATTTCATTTAAATGTCGACGGATAGTTCGCGCTGACACTGATGCTCCCTGAGCCTGCAGGACAGCTTGAATGTCTTTGGAACATGTTTGGGGCTGCTTATCCACCATCCGGACTATTCTGCGTTGCAATCTTTCATCAATTTTCCTCATCCGTCCACGACCAGGGAGATTAGCTACAGTGCCATGGGTTGCAAACTTCTTGATAATGTTGCGCACTGTGGACAAAGGCAAATCTAGTTCTCTGGAGATGGACTTGTAACCTTGAGATTGTTGATATTTTGCCACAATTTTGGTTCTCAGGTCCTCAGACAGTTCTCGTCTCCTCTTTCTGTTGTCCATGCTTAGTGTGGCACAGACAGACACACAATGCAAAGGTTAAGTGAACGTCTCTCCTTTTTATCTGCTTTCAGGTGTGATTTCTATATTGCCCACACCTGTTACTTGCCCCAGGTGAGTTTACAGGAGCATCACATGCTTGTAACATTCTTATTTATCCGCAGTTGTGAAAGGGTGCCAATACTTTTGTCCAGCCCATTTTTGGAGGTTTGTGTGACATTATGTCGAATTTGCTTTCTTTCCTCCCTTTTTTTGTTTTGTCCCAATACACACAAAGGGAATAAACATGTGTATAGCAAAACATGTGTTAATGCAATACGTTTCGTGAGAAATACATGATTTCCTGGAGAAATATCAAGGGTGCCAACAATTTCGGCCATGACTGTATATATATATATACACACACACACACACTGTATGTTGCGGTTTTATTACAAAATATATGAAAAATACATTTTCAAATATACTGCATGTCTTTAAAAAATATATTTTTGGAATGCATTTACAAATATATGTAAAAATACGTTAAAATTACTTTTTTATATTTTAAAAATAATCTGAAGAGTATATTTAAAAAATATATATTTAAAAAAATATTTTTCGGATATTTTGTAATGTATAAAAAACGCGTTTCAACATAGTTTGGTGTGTGTGTGTGTCTAGATGGATATATTGTATGTTGAAATGTGTTTTTATTACAAAATATATGAAAAATATTTTTAAAAATACATTTTCAAATATACTGTGTGTCTTTAAAAATACATTTAATCTACATTTTTGGAATGCATTTACAAATATATGTTAATGACTTTTTTATATTTTAAAAATAATTTGAAGAATATATTTGTAAAAATATTTTTCATATAATTTTGTAATATATATAAAAGGCATTGCAATGTGTGTTGAATACGGCCAAAATTGTAGTATTTCAAATATATGTCAATATATTTGGGAAGAGTATTTTTAAAATATATTTTTCTTCCATGGGGGAGTTAGGGACCCTAGAATGTACACTCCTCGGGGGCGGGGACTGGTGTGAATGTACAATATGTATGTAAAGTGCTGCGTACATTGACAGTGCAATATAAGTACCTGAAATACCATTTTCAAGTGGAACTTTAGTTAGAAAATGAAGTCCTGCTAGATCCCTCCAGCCAGCCCCCCCCTCCTCCTCCCCCCCAGCTGATGATGTGCACGGTTATGGAATCCTATGCTGAGAAGTAACTCGCTGTCGCACCGCCGCTGTCATTACTCCCTGTCCCTTTTAACAGAAAGAAGGCACCCCCACCCCTATAGCGAACCCCTTGTCCCGGCCCTGCACTTGCCTACCGGGCACTTTCAACCCCTTCCTGTCCAGGCCAATTCTCAGCTTTCAGCGCTGTCGCACTTTGAATGACAATTGCGCGGTCATGCAACACTACGCAAACAAAATGATCTTTTTTTTTGACAGAGGTTTTTTTTGGTATTTAATCCCCACTGGGATTTATTTTTCTTTCTTTTTTTTTTTGTAAAACATGAAAAAAGACCTAAAATTTAGAAAAAAAGTTTTTTCTTAGTTTCTGTTATAAAGTTTCGTAAATAAGTGATTTTTCTCCTTCACTGATGCTTATAGGCTGCACTGGTGAGGTTGCACCAACATGAGGCACTGACAGGCAGCGCTGGTGGGCTCTTGGCAAGCGGCAGCGCTGGTGGTGGGCTCTTGGCAAGCGGCAGCGCTGGTGGGCTCTTGGCAGGCGGCAGCGCTGGTGGGCTCTTGGCAGGCGGCAGCGCTGGTGGGCTCTTGGCAAGCGGCAGCGCTGGTGGGCTCTTGACAGGCGGCAGCGCTGGTGGGCTCTTGGCAGGCGGCAGCGCTGGTGGGCTCTTGGCAGGCGGCAGCGCTGGTGGGCTCTTGGCAGGCGGCAGCGCTGGTGGGCTCTTGGCAGGCGGCAGCGCTGGTGGGCTCTTGGCAGGCGGCAGCGCTGGTGGGCTCTTGGCAGGCGGCAGCGCTGGTGGGCTCTTGGCAGGCGGCAGCGCTGGTGGGCTCTTGGCAGGCGGCAGCGCTGGTGGGCTCTTGGCAGGCGGCAGCGCTGGTGGGCTCTTGGCAGGCGGCAGCGCTGGTGGGCTCTTGGCAGGCGGCAGCGCTGGTGGACTCTTGGCAGGTGGCAGTGCTGGTTTACTATCACTTTAAAGGCTTACCTGTAGGTAAAACATGGGAAAAAAAAGACTTTACTATCACTTTAAGGGCTGGTTCACACTCCATGCATTTCTGTGTGGTTTTTTTTCTGCATCCAAAACGCACAGAAAGTAGGTTATATGGTTGTCATGGCATAGTTCACATCAGTGCTTGCAGATCCAGTGCGTTCTGGTTCCAGAAAAAAAAAAAAAAAAAAACAGGCTGCCTTTTTCCTGCACAGAATTGTACTGGAAATCAGTAAAAGAAAAAAAAATGCAGTGGACCCCAAATGACTAAAAACAAAGAAGGAAAAAAAAAAAGCATCTGTCACACATTCATTAAAAACGCGCATTCAGATTGCGTTTCTGCGGTGTGAACCGGCCTTTGGGGTCAGAGATGTCAGTTTTTCTGCACACATTCTGTGAGGGCACAACAAAATCAATTGTTCTCTATGTGGCCTGTGCACACCACAACACTGGGATCACCTGCAGATCTGTTTTCTGCGCAGGAATCTGTAGCGTGTATAACTAACTGAAAGCACGCATGGAAAATGGGTGTCTCTGCAAGTGAAATCTGCATGTCAGTTCCCATCAGTGTTTCTCACGTATGACGTGAACGAGGCCTTACAGCCAAGGAAGCTGCTTCTGTTTGATCTGCAACTGCCATGGTGCTGCACACGTGATCAGTTGGGACACCAGTCATTGGATGGTTTGACAGTTTGGTTGGGGACACAAACCAATGTGACTGCGATCCCGGCATTCCAGGAATATTCTAGAATAATCATGCAGAATTATTATTGTGGGATGTATCTTCCTTGCTGAGGAACATTATTTTTTTATCAAGTTGTTATGGGGAAAGTTCCACTATAAATGGTTTGTTCAGAAGCTGGAAATCACTGTAGTAGACACTGCTACTACACCTGTGCTACGCCGCTACTACACCTGTGCTACGCTGCTACTACAACACTACGACTACGCCGCTACTACACCTGTGCTACGCCGCTACTACAACACTACGACTACGCCGCTACTACAACACTACGACTACGCCGTGACTACGCCGCTACTACAACACTACGACTACGCCGCTACTACACCTACGACTACGCCGCTACGACTACGCCGCTACGACTACGCCGCTACTACAACACTACGACTGTACTACTAACTACGCCGCTACTACAACACTACGACTACGTGCTACGCCGCTACTACAACCTGTGCTACGCCGCTACTACACACTACGTGCTACGACTACGCCGCTACTACAACACTACGACTACGCCGCTACTACGACTACGCCGCTACTACACATACGACGTACTACAACACTACGACTACGCCGCTACTACAACACCTGTGACGCCGCTACTACAACACCTGTGCTACTACGCTTACCACTACGACTACGCCGCTACTACAATAATACTACACTACGCCGCTACTACAATACTACGTGCTACTACAACACTACGCTACGCCGAACACTACGACTACGCCGCTACTACAACTACGACTACGCCGCTACTACGACTAACGCCGCTACTACAACACTGACTACGCCGCTACTACACACTAGACTACGCCGCTACTAAACACTACGACTACGCCGCTACTACGACTACGCCGCTACTACAACACTGTGACTACGCCGCTACTACACACTGACTACGCCGCTACTACAACACTGTGCTACGCCGCTACTACAATACTACGACGCTACTACAATACTACGACTACGCCGCTACTACACTACGACTACGCCGCTACTACAACACTACGACTACGCCGCTACTACACACTGTGCTACGCCGCTACTACACTACGACGCTACTACTGACTACGCCGCTACTACTACTGACTACGCCGCTACTACGACTACACCTACTACTACACTACGCCGCTACTACAACACTACGACTACGCCGCTACTACTACAATACTACGACGCTACTACAATACTACAACACTACGACTACGCCGCTACTACAACACTACGACTACGCCGCTACTACAACACTACGACTACATCCGCTGCTACAATATGACTACATCTGTGCTACACCTGCTACTACCACCTGTGACTATACACCTGTGCTGCACTACTACTACACCTGTGCTACACTGCTACTACAATACTACGACTACACCTGTTCTACACTGCTACTAAAATATGACTACATCTGTGCTACACCACGACTATACCTGTGCTACACTACGAATACAATTGTGCTACATTGCTACTACACATTGACTACACTGCTACTACAGTGATCCCCTCTAGTTTATGGGTGCTGCCTAGTGAACACAGGCAGTCCCCTGCACGGCACAGGCCCCAGTCAGAGAACATTTTGCATTTTCTCAATGAATACAAGATAGTCTCTGATTGGACAAGGTGGAGATCATAGCACCCCTGTCCACCTCGTCCAATCAGAGAACGCGTCGCATTCATTGTGAAAATGCGAAGCGTTCCCTGACTGGCAGCCATGACAAGCGAGCAATCTCCTGCGTTCACAGGGCAGCCTGTTGGTGCACAGCGGTGACTACTCCGGTGATTTGCAGCCTTCCACATGTATGACCCACACACGCATGTACACATCCATGTGCTCCAACCTCGGCCAATGTAACTGTTCCTCTACTGAAAATAACGTCACATGTTCTGTTTTGTTGTCTCGCTGATTGTTCCGTCCGCAGCAACCTCCCCTCCTGACCCGCCATTGCTGTGCTTTCTTCGCAGGCTAAAGGAGCGGTCAGTACGGCGGTGTCGGCGGCTGTGCAGGCGGCTCGAGGAAGAGGACGGGTGGCATTGGCCAGAGGAGCCTTCGTGGGAGCTGCTGCTGCTGCCCCTGGATACATAACCCAAGGTACGCGCCCCGTCCCTGGATCCACGACCCCCGGGTACGCGCCCCGTCCCTGGATCCACGACCCCCCCGGTACGCGCCCCGTCCCTGGATCCACGACCCCCCGGTACGCGCCCCGTCCCTGGATCCACGACCCCCCGGTACGCGCCCCGTCCCTGGATCCACGACCCCCCCCCGGTACGCGCCCCGTCCCTGGATCCACGACCCCCCCGGTACGCGCCCCGTCCCTGGATCCACGACCCCCCCGGTACGCGCCCCGTCCCTGGATCCACGACCCCCCCGGTACGCGCCCCGTCCCTGGATCCACGACCCCCCCGGTACGCGCCCCGTCCCTGGATCCACGACCCCCCCGGTACGCGCCCCGTCCCTGGATCCACGACCCCCCCGGTACGCGCCCCGTCCCTGGATCCACGACCCCCCCGGTACGCGCCCCGTCCCTGGATCCACGACCCCCCCGGTACGCGCCCCGTCCCTGGATCCACGACCCCCCCGGTACGCGCCCCGTCCCTGGATCCACGACCCCCCCCCGGTACGCGCCCCGTCCCTGGATCCACGACCCCCCCGGTACGCGCCCCGTCCCTGGATCCACGACCCCCCCGGTACGCGCCCCGTCCCTGGATCCACGACCCCCCCGGTACGCGCCCCGTCCCTGGATCCACGACCCCCCCGGTACGCGCCCCGTCCCTGGATCCACGACCCCCCCGGTACGCGCCCCGTCCCTGGATCCACGACCCCCCCGGTACGCGCCCCGTCCCTGGATCCACGACCCCCCCGGTACGCGCCCCGTCCCTGGATCCACGACCCCCCCGGTACGCGCCCCGTCCCTGGATCCACGACCCCCCGGTACGCGCCCCGTCCCTGGATCCACGACCCCCAGGTACGCGCCCCATCCAAAATGACTGAAAAAACAAAACAGAAATTGTCTGATCTCATGATCTACAAAATCTGCTAAAGGACGTTGCTGGTGACCGACCTCAACCTCTAAAGCCGAAGTTCAGCCGGTTCAGCAGGAACCGGCCGAATTTCGATCCTTCTTTGGGCAGACTGATTGTACTGAAGTCAGTCCACAGAACGACTTCGGGTCAACCATCCCGACAGATTTGTCTCTTACGATCACCGCCGACGGCTGTATCTGCCAGCAGTGATCATTGTGTTCTGCCGGTAGGGAAGGCTTCTTGCCGATAGAGCACGATAGCGCTGCGGGAGGGATTCCTCCCATCAACGTTGACTGTGTCAATAGGGGGGAATGGAACGATTTTCTTTGGTGGGAGGAAAGAAAACTGCATAATCTATGGGCTGCTTAACCCCCTTTACGCCGGAGGGTGGAACAAATCTTAAAGCCGAAGTAAACTTTTACAAAACATAAAACCGTATGTGTCACCGCAACTACTTTGTACATCCGGGTGGATTATACTGTGGTTTTTTTTCCAGACAAATTGGGCTTTCATTTGGTGGTGAATGGTCACGGATATCCCGTTTTTTTTTTTTTTTTTTTTTTTTTTTATTATTATTGTTATCCAAGGAAAAATAGTAAAAAAAAAAATTTTTTTTTTTTTTAACTTAGCTGTGTGTTTCTTGTTACTACCATAACCTGCCACCAAAGAATGAACCAAAATACATTTTCCAGCTCTTGATGATCGCAGCGACACCATCTATGTGTATGTTATTTGTTGTTTGTACCCGGAGTACGGCCTAGAAACAATAGTGCGCATTTTTGTTTTTTTTTTTGTTTTTTTTGTTTTGTTTTTTTTTTTTATCCAAGGAAAACTGGCCCAAAATAGTAAAAAAAAAAAATATTTTTTTTTAATTTAGCAGCGTGTTTCTTGTGCGCATTGTTTTTTGGCTTTTTTTTTTTTTTTTTTTACCTAAAAACACACACCGATACCGATTTAATTTAACCCCTTGGCGCCAGCGCCTCCCGGCCCTTTAAGGATTCCAGAAGTCGAGAGTCGGGGAGGGATTTTAGGGTCATGTGACCGCCATGATTCGCTGTCACGGTGGTCACATGATCGGGAAAGGTCCCGATCGAAAGAGGCGGTCTGGACCTTTCCGTGAGTAGTGAACATGTGTGCTGGGAGCTCGCACGGCGCACACTCTCAGCACATATATATATTTTTTTTTTAATGGAACACAAATGTGCGGCTGCTCGGTGTCTAGTCCCAGACGCTGGGAGGCCGCACATTTGCGTTCGCCCGGCGGCAAGAGGTAAAAAAAACAAACAAAAAAAAACCTGACCTTTGACCATGATCTTGACCCAAACACTAACCCTGGCACTGAACTAGATCAAACCTTGATCTAGAACCTGGAATTTTTTTTATTTCTACTAGTATATACTAGTAATGGCAGCAATCAGCGACTTATAGCGGGACTGCGGCGGGCATTCTGACACTGGAGGGGAACTGACTTGTCACTGACATCCCCAGTGACAGCAATACAGTGCTCGGTGCTAATAAAAAGCTAATTGCACTGGGCAGGAAGGGGTTAATGTGGGGTCATCAAAGGGTTAACTGTGTGCTGTGCATGTTTCACATTATGTGCTGTGTCTGTGTTTTGCTATGGAAGCACACTGCTTTGTATTGCTGTGCTATGCAGAGCCATACAAAGCAGTGTGCTGGAGCTGACAGGGGAGAGATCCGTATTGTTTACATACAGACCTCTCCCCCCGTCAGTAATACTCGATGGGTGCTGGCGGGAAATCTCCGGCTGGGACCCGGTGATCGACAGCTGAAGTCAGCAACGGCGCCCACTACTACACAGCTACCACACCAGGTTCCTGTGCTGCATTGTAAACACAGGAGGTTGGCTCTTCGCCCTTGGCACCATTCAGGGGAAAAACATGCGTTTTCTGAATAAATGCAAAGTGGTGTTCTGATTGGACAGGTTGAAGAGGCGGAGCAGTGACCTCGCCATGCCCGCCTCATCCAATCAGCAGTTATTCAGAAGATGCGAGGCATTGTGTGCATGACGCTGGGGCTGAGCAGCCGACCTTCCAGGTTGGGGTGTGGCTGTGGTGCGGCAGAGCAGGGTTTTATGGGTTAAAGCCGATGAAGAGGCGACAATGTCTCCGCACCGCCTTTTAAACGTCCTCTAAATGTATCCTCAGAATTTTCTAATGTTCCCACCCTGTTTTTTTACCCCCCCCCCCAGGATATGCAGCCCCCTATGGATACAGTGCCGCAGCGCCGGCTTATGGTATGTAAACAAAATTTTGTTTTTTGCATAGTGGTCTATTTTTGTTGGAGTGGGATCTACTGTTCAGGAGGGGTCTGTTGGAGAGGGATCTACTGTTCAGGAGGGGTCTGTTGTTGGGGAGGGATCTACTGTTCAGGAGGGTCTATTGTTGGAGAGGGATCTACTGTTCAGAAGGGGTCTGTTGTTGGGGAGGGATCTACTGTGCAGGAGGGGTCTACTGTTGGAGAGGGATCTACTGTGCAGGAGGGGCCTACTGTTGGGGAGGGATCTATCTACTGTGCAGGGGGAGCTACTGTTGGAGAGGGAGTACTGTTGGAGATTGTTGCTTGCGGGTGGGAGATCTGTTGTTGCTGCTGGGGGAATGTTGTCGATGGGGTGGTATTTTGTTGTGGGGACCCATTGTTGCTGGGGGAATCTGTTGTTGCTGGCTGCAGGGGAATCTATTTTTATTGCTTTTCTCTGTGTCTTAACAAATTCCATACAAAATGATAGTTGGCTCTGTACTCCCTAAAAGGAGTCCTACGGGGAGGTGGAACCAAGGGAGCGGTGCTCGGGGGAGGGCAAAAACAAGAGGTGACACAGAAGGGGGGAGGAGTTCCTTCATCCTTTACCTATTCTCAGAGAAAAAAAAAAGCTATGTATGTATATATACAGTTGTGTTCAAAATAATAGCAGTGTGGAGTTCTATTAGTGAGGTGATTCATTCTTTGAAAAACAGGTGGCAATTATTGCCCTTATTTAAGGAAGGAAGGCAGCAAATGTTGGACATGCTGGTTACAGTGCATTTCTCTCTGAAATTCTGAGGAAAATGGGTGGTTCCAGACATTGTTCAGAAGAACAGCGTACCTTGATTAAAAAGTGGATTGAGGAGGGGAAAACATATAAAGAAGTGCAGAAAATGATCGGCTGCTCAGCTAAAATGATGGCAAATGCTTTAAAATGGCAACCAAAACCTGAAAGACGTGGAAGAAAGCGAAAAACTACCATGGATAGAAGAATTGCCAAAATGGATAGCCAACAATCAGCTCCAAAATGGACGCTGTGAGACTCAGCCAACAATCAGCTCCAGGAAGATGACAGAAGGTGTGACGTTCCCTGTGAGGACTGTTACAATTAGAAGATGCCTATGTGAAGCCAAGCTATCTGCAAGAAGTCCCCGCAAAGTCCCACTGTTGGGAAAAAAAGATGTGTGCTGAAGAGGTTACAATCTGCCAAAGAGCACATTGACCGGCCTAAAGAGAAATGGCGCAACATTTTGTGGACTGATGAAGTAAGATTGTTCTTTTTGGGTCTAGTGGGCGGAGACAGTTTGTCAGACGACCCCCAAACACTGAATTCAAGCCACAGTACACTGTGAAGACCGTGAAGCATGGTGGTGCAAGCATCATGATATGGGGATGTTTCTCATACTACGGTGTTGGGCCTATTTATCGCATACCAGGGATCATGGATCGGTTTGAATGCATCAGAATACTTGAAGAGGTCATGCTGCCTTATGCTGAAGAGGAAATGCCCTTGAAATGGGTGTTCCAACAAGACAACGACTCCAAACACACCAGTAAACGTGCAACATCTTGGTTCCAGACCAACAAGATGGACGTTATGGAGTGGCCAGCCCAATCCCCGGATCTTAATCCAATAGAAAACTTGTGGGGTGACATCAAAAATGCCGTTTCTGAGGCAAAACCAAGAAATAGAGAAGAACTGTGGAATGTGGTCCAATCATCCTGGGCTGGAATACCTGATCACAGGGGCCAGAAGTTGGGTGACTCCATGCAACACAGATGTACAGCAGTTCTCAGAAACAGTGCGACTACAACCAAATATTCATGAAGTCATTCAAAGGAAAGCAAAATCTTCAAACATTTCTCAGTTTATATAGTGAATGTTTGAGTTTGTAAAGAAGAATACAAACACTGAGATTTTTTTTGAACCGTCTAATATTCACTTTTCTTCCATTTTTTTAGAGGAACAACACAAATTTGATATATTTTTCTTCATGTTGTGATTTGGAATAGAATGTGTCGTGTTCCCAATGCATTTGTGTGGATGGAAATAAAAGCTATTAGAAGGATTTTCAGCTTTATTCACTTTTTTCAACACACTGATATTATTTTGAACACAACTGTACCTGTGAAAAAGTATTTGCCCCCTTCCTGATATGTTATATATATATACAGTCAGGTCCATAAATATTGGGACATCGACACAATTCTAACATTTTTGGCTCTATACACCACAATGGATTTGAAATGAAACGAACAAGATGTGCCTTTAACTGCAGACTGTCAGCTTTAATTTGAGGGTATTTACATCCAAATCAGGTGAACGGTGTAGGAATTACAACAGTTTGCATATGTGCCTCCCACTTGTTAAGGGACCAAAAGTAATGGGACAGAATAATAATCCTAAATCAAACTTTCACTTTTTAATACTTGGTTGCAAATCCTTTGCAGTCAATTACAGCCTGAAGTGTGGAACGCATAGACACCACCAGACGCTGGGTGTCATCCCTGGTGATGCTCTGCCAGGCCTCTACTGCAACTGTCTTCAGTTCCTGCTTGTTCTTGGGGCATTTTCCCTTCAGTTTTGTCTTCAGCAAGTGAAATGCTCAATCGGATTCAGGTCAGGTGATTGACTTGGCCATTGCATAACATTCCACTTCTTTCCCTTAATAAACTCTTTGGTTGCTTTTGCAGTCTGCTTTGGGTCATTGTCCATCTGCACTGTGAAGCGTCCAATGAGTTGTGAAGCATTTGGCTGAATATGAGCGATAATATTCCCGAAACACTTCAGAATTCATCCGGCTGCTTTTGTCAGCAGTCACATCATCAATAAATACAAGAGAAGCAGTTCCATTGGCAGCCATACATGCCCACGCCATGACACTACCACCACCATGCTTCACTGATGAGGTGGTATGCTTAGGATCATGAGCAGTTCCTTTCCTTCTCCATCCTCTTCTCTTCCCATCACTCTGGTACAAGTTGATGTTGGTCTCATCTGTCCATAGGATGTTGTTCCAGAACTGTGAAGGCTTTTTTACATGTCGTTTGGCAAACTCTAATCTGGCCTTCCTGTTTTTGAGGCTCACCAATGGTTTACATCTTGTGGTGAACCCTCTGTATTCACTCTGGTGAAGTCTTCTCTTGATTGTTGACTTTGACACACATACACCTACCTCCTGGAGGGTGTTCTTGATCTGGCCAACTGTTGTGAAGGGTGTTTTCTTCACCAGGGAAAGAATTCTTTGTCATCCACCACAGCTGTTTTCCGTGGTCTTCCGGGTCTTTTGGTGTTGCTGAGCTCACCGGTGCGTTCCTTCTTTTTAAGAATGTTCCAAACAGTTGTTTTGGCCACGCCTAATGTTTTTGCTATCTCTCTGATGGGTTTGTTTTGTTTTTTTCAGCCTAATGATGGCTTCACTGATAGTGACAGCTCTTTGGATCTCATCTTGAGAGTTGACAGCAACAGATTCCAAATGCAAATAGCACACTTAAAATGAACTCTGGACCTTTTATCTGCTCATTGTAATTGGGATAATGAGGGAATAACACACACCTGGCCATGGAACAGCTGAGAAGCCAATTGTCCCATTACTTTTGGTCCCTTAACAAGTGGGAGGCACATATGCAAACTGTTGTAATTCCTACACCGTTCACCTGATTTGGATGTAAATACCCTCAAATTAAAGCTGACAGTCTGCAGTTAAAGCACATCTTGTTTGTTTCATTTCAAATCCATTGTGGTGGTGTATAGAGCCAAAAATTTTAGAATTGTATCGATGTCCCAATATTTATGGACCTGACTGTATATATATATATATATATATATTTCTTTTTCATATTTGTTACACTTTCAGATTCAGATCATCAAACAAATGTTAATATCACACAAAGATAACCCCAATAAATACAAAATGATTTCATTTATTAAGGGAAGAATCTGTCCAAACCTGCCTGGCCCTGTGTGAAAAAGTAATTGCTCCCCTAAACCTAATAACCGGTTGGGCCGCCCTCGGCGGCAGCAACAACTGCGATCCAATGTTTGCGATCACTGGTGATGAGACTTTCCCGACGCTGTGGAGGAGTGTCGGCCCGCTCTTCTTTGCAGAATTGTTTTCATTCAGCCACATTGGAGAGTTTTCCAACACGAACGGCCTGTTTAGGGTCATGGCACAGCATCTCCATTGGATTGAAGTCTGGACTTTGACTAGGCCAATCCAAAATCTGACTTTTGTGGTTTCGAGCCATTCAGAGGTGGACTTGCTGGTGTTTGGGATCATTGTCCTGCTGCAAAACCCAAGTGAGCTTGAGGTCAGGAACTGATGGGCAGATGTTCTCCTTCAGGATTTTCTGGTAGAGCGCAGAATTCGTGGTTCCATCAATGATGGAAAGTCATCCAGGTTCTGACCATCACACTACCACCGCCATGTCTGACTGTTGGGATGATGATCTTCTTGTGAAATGCTGCGTTAGTTTTACTCCAGATGTGACGCACACTTTCCAAAAAGTTCAACTTTTGTCTCATCAGTCCACAGAATATTTAATTTCTTGAGGATAATCAAGATGGTTTTTTTGCCAAATGTGGGAGGGGCCTTAGTGTTCTTTGTGGTCAGCAGTGGCTTTGGCCTTGGAACTCTCCCATGGAGGCCATTATTGTCCAGTCACTTTCTTACTGCTGAATCATGAACACCGACCTTACCTGAGGCAAGTGAGGCCTGCAGTTCTTTAGATGATCTGGCTTTTTTTTATGACCTCTTGGATGAGGAGTCATTGTGTTCTTGAAGTCATTGCGGTAGGCCGGCCAATCCTGGGAAGGTTCACCACTGTTCCATGTTCTCTCCATTTGTGGATAATGGCTCTCACCATGGTTTGCTGGAGTCCCAAAACCTTAGAAATGGCTAATTGGCTTTGTCAATTATTTTTTTCTGATCTGTTTTTGAAGTTCTTTAGATTGCGGCACGTGTTGCTTTTTGAGATCTTTTAGCGTGCTTCACTTTGTCAGACAGCTTCTATTTAAGGGATTTCTTGATTCAACAGGTTTGGCAGTAATCAGGCCTGGGGGGGCAAGTGAAATTTAACTCAGACTTCCAAAAAATGGGGTTAATCAATCACAGTTAATTCATGATTTAGCAAGGGGGGGGGGGCAAATACTTTTTCACATAGGAGCAGGTAGGTTTGGACAGCTTTTTCTTCCCCCTCGGTAAGTAAAATCATAATTTTAAAAACACCATTTTGTATGTACTCGGGTTATATTTGTGTAATATTAAAATTTGTTTGATCAGAATCATTTACGTGTGACAAATATAAAACATATATCATTTATTTCAGGTACTTATATAGCGCCATCAATGTACGCAGCGCTTTACATATATATTGTAGTCACATCAGTCTCTCCCCCCCGAGGAGTGTACACTCTAAGGGCCCTAACTCACATTCATACATACACATACTAGGGCCAATTTAGACAGGATCCAATTAACCTACCAGCATGTCTTTTGGAGTGTGGGAGGAAACCAGAGTACCCGGAGGAAACCCACGCAGGCACAGGGAGAACATGCAAACTCCAGGCAGGTGGTGCTGTGGTTGGAATTCGAACCAACAACCCTCATACTGCCAGGCGGAAGTGCTAACCATTTAGCCACTGTGCTGCCCATATATATAAGGAAAGGGGCATTTGGATTTTTTTCGGGTACAAGAAAAAAACTACCCTTGCAGTGCCCCCTCCCCCCGCCCATTGCGGTGCGATTCCTGTCTGAATTGTATGCAGTTTCCCCGCACAGTTCCTGAACCCAGGCTTGGCATAGTGACTTTGAGCCTGTGTTCACACAGGAGCGGTGTGGGAAACTTCCCTGCGTGACGGGTAAAACTCTGGCTCCCGTTCCAACTACGGCTCGGGATCCTCCTGCCTCTCCCATGGATTTGTTCCCCCTCCCAGCGGGTTCCATTCATTCCATCCGGTCCCGCTGTCAGACACCGAAAAGCTGCTTCACCAGTCCGGGGATTAGAAATTCCCACGGCTTTCTCTCCTCTCCTGACAGTACAGGCTAAACAGCTACATGTCTGTGTGATGGTGCTGGCCAATCAGAAGCCATCTAGCCTGTACTGTCAGGAGAGGAGAGAAAGCTGTGGGGATTTCTAATCCCCGGACTGGTGAAGCAGCTTTTCGGTGTCTGACAGCGGGGGATCGGATGGAATGAATGGAACCCGCTGGGAGGGGGAACAAATCCAATTCCCTGGACCGGTGAATCCCTGACAGCGGGGGATCTGCAATCTGGCACAGCAGGGTCTGGGAGGGGATGGATGGAACTGCTAGAGGCTGGGGAGGAACAAAGTCATGGGAGAGGCAGGAGGAGCCCAAGCCGCAGCCAGATCGGCAGCTTGAGCATCACTGGTGGAACCCATCACGCAGGGAGGTTTCCCCACACCACTCCTGTGTGAACTCGGGCTCAAAGCCCCTATGCCAAGCCTGCGATCACACAGGAACGGTGCGATTCGGAGAGGAATTGCACCGCATTGCAGTTCTATGCAGTACTCTTTGATCCCATTTATTTTATATTGGCTCAAATCGCACCACAAAGGTATCGTTACTCGGTGCCGGCGAGCAATTGGAAAGTATTGATACTCCCCAGTTAAAAAAAGAAAAAAAAAAAAAGCGATATTGGTGCAACCCTAGTTCATTTTATATTGTATCATCTGCACAGAGTAGTGCAGGTCATACATGGTTCAAATTTCAAACGATTGTTCGTTCGAAAATCAAAAACGTCGTTCGATCTGTAATCCGATGGTGCCATCAATGATTTTGAAAATCAGTCGTTTTTCACAAATTTTCCAACATGCCCGATAAACAAAAAGCAGAGAAACCACAAAAACTGACCGATGCCATTGGCCCCACTAGCAGAGCAAAAATCGGTCGATTATTCTTAGATCTGATTTTCGAACTAAAAATCGTTTGAAAATTGACCCATGTATGGCCGGCTTAAGTTGTCGGCAAATATCAGAGTTTTTTTGTTTTGTCTCTACCTTCTCTCTCTCTCGTTGTCTTTTCAGGTATCCCGAAAAGGATGGTCCTCTTACCAGTTATGAAATTTCCAGCATATCCAGTTCCCCACTACTCCTTTTTTTAACACAACGCATCAGGCAGGACCGTTCGGAATGTCAGAAATGGAACTTATTTTCTTTGAATTGCGGGATTTCCTTTGTAAAGACCCTTTTTCCTACTTTTTTTATTTTAACAGAAAAAAAAAACACAGAAAAAAGAAAATTTAGTTATTTAAAAAACAAACAAACAAACAAACTTGAAGAAATTGTACTGTGAAATGTTACCTCATTTACAGATAAAAAAAAAAAAAAAAAAACTCTTTTACTGCCAGAAGACACAGCCATGTATAGAAGACGTCTTGTCTGGCAGCGGAGGTAGCAGGCCTTCTGCCTAGGAAATGATGTAGGAGACTCAAGTATACCTTTTAAATGAAGTACAAAAAAAAAACTGTAAAATTGATAAATACATTTATGAAGGATGTACGATATTAAACTAATAACAGAATAAAAATGTTTTGTCCTATATTTAGTGCGTCCCGACTGCTTTCTACCGGGGAGCGGCATGCTTACATTCTTCACTGCAAGACCTGAACTATTTTTTTTTTACATGTAAAAATCAGTATTTTCTGCTAGCAAATTACTTAAAAAAAACCCCGAATGTTATCTCGATATTTTTTTAACCGCCTCCCACCCGCCATGTAGTCCAATGACGGGCGCAAGGCGGTTCTCTTGTTCTGGGAGGACGTCATATGATGTCCTCCCGTTCTCACTGAGCGTGTGGCCGGGACACAGCGGATCACCGATCCACGGAAAGAGCCGAAGCTGTCGGCTCGGTCATGTGATCAGCTGTGTCCAATCACAGCTGATCACATGTAAACAGGGAAATGCTGTGATCGGCATTGCTCTCCCCATGAGCTGTCACGCTGACAGAGGAGAGCCGGTAATCGGCGGAGATGACATCTACACTGATCATCAGGGCACTGATGATCAGTGTGGCCCCAGAAGTGCCACCTGTTAGAGTCCATCAGTGCCAGCTGTCAGTGCTCATCAGTGCCACATCAATGTTACCCATCAGTGCCACCTATCAGTGATGCCTGTCAATGCCCATCAGTGCCACCTATCAGTGCCCATCACTGCAGCCTCATTAGCGCACATCAGTGAAGGAGAAAGATCACTTATTTACAAAATTGTATAACAAAAAACTAAGAAGAAACGTGTTTTTTTTTTTACAAAATTTTTAGTGGTTTTTGGTTTGTTTAAGAAAAGATAACACCCCCCCCCCGAGAGGTGATTAACCACTTGCCGTCCGCCTGCTGTTTTTAACGGCAGGACGGTGGCACTCCAGGGCCGGTGGCACCCGCTATTTCTAGTGTGTGCGCGCTCCCTGGGAGCACACAGCACCGCGATCCACAGTGAAACACCGATCGTCGGACGGGACGTCTGTACGAGGTCCCGATCATGTGATCACTGATTGGCCAAGTGATCACATGCAAAGTAGTAAGCACGATGTCACTTGTGACATCTACGTGTGAAATCTGTGAATGATCACAGAGGTCACATGGTACAGGGCTATTCACAACAGCCTTGTACCATGTGACAAGCTCTGACCAATCACAGCTCACACGGTATTTCTCAATGGCTGCAAGAATGCAGACAGAGAGAAAGAGAAATGATTGCTTTTACATCCTATATGGGTGTAAAAGGAATCACTGTAAAAAAAAAAAAAAAAAATCTTCATCACCCCCCACAAGTAGTACCATGGTGACACTGTACTGCTAGGGTGACGGTATGTTAAAAAAAAAAAAAAAAAAATAATATAAAAATGTAAAAAAAAAAAGTTTAAAAATTATAATTTTTGGTTATAACTAATTTGGCGTATTTTTTTTTTTTTTACTAAAAAGATAACGGAATAAATTTTGTCCAAGATTTATGATGAAATACTATTTATTTGCACAATTTTTATAAGAAAAACACTTTTTTCAAAATTTTTGGACTTTTTCATTTATATAGCAAAAAAAATTAAAATCCCAGCGGTGAATAAATACCACCAAAATAAGGCTCTATCTGTGTCAAAAAAAATGCTAAAAATTTTATACGGGTACAGTGTTGCATGACCGCGCAATTGTCATTCAAAATGCAACAGCGCTGAAAGCTGGAAATTGCCTGGGCAGGAAGGGGGTGACAGTGCCCTGTAGGGGTTAAAGAATAAAATGGGTGTTGCAATTTTTATGTCGCACAGTATTTGCGCAGTGTTTTATCAGGGAAAAAAATACACTTTAACCACTTCAAGTCCGGACACTGTCACCCTCTTCCAGTCCAGGCCAATTTTCAGCGCTATCACACTTTCAATGACAATTGCGCGGTCATGCAACACTGTACCCATATGACTTTTTTAGCATTTTTTTGAGACAGATAAAACTTTATTTTGATGGTATTTATTCACCACTGGGATTTTAATTTTTTTGCTATATAAATGAAAAAGTCCAAACATTTTGGAGAATAAAAAGTGTTTTTCTTATAAAATTTTGCAAATCTTTCTTCATAAAGCTTGGCCAAAATGTATTCAGTTATCTTTTTAGTAAAAAAAAAAAAAAAAACTCAAATTAGTTTATAACCAAAATTTTATAATTTTTCAAAAACATTTTCACATTTTTTATTTTAGTTTTTAATATTATTTGTTTTGCTAACATACTGTCACCATGGTGACCCTGTACTACTTGTGGGGGGTGATGAAGATTTTTTTTTTTCTTTTTTTTACACCGATTGCTTTTACACCCACAAAGGCTGTAAAAGCAATCATTTCTCTTTCTCTCTGGCTGCATTCCTCAGGCCATTGAGAAATACTGTGAGAGCTGTGATTGGTCACACAGTACAAGACTTTTGTGAATGGCCCTGTACCATGTGATCTCTGTGATCATTCTTAGATTTCACACGTAGTAAGCAATGATGTCAGGAAGTGACATCTTGCTTACACCTATTCATGTGATCACTGATTTACCAATCGGGGATCACATGAATCAGGACCTCACAGAGATTTGTTCCACAGCGAGCCCCAGATCGCGGTGCCGCTCGCTCCCAGGGAGCAAGCACAGGCAGGGAAGCAGGAGGACGTTTATAAACGGCCACCCACCCTTGTATTGCTCCCGTCCGGCCGTTTATGTACATGGGTCGGACGGAAAGTGGTTAATGAATTTTATTGCACAAAAAGACAATTTAATACCTGATTGTTTGATAAAATATAAAGGATGATGTTACATGAGTAAATGAATATGACGTACATTTTATTATCCATAGGCGGTGCTTTAAAAGCCTTTACACAGGAAGTCTGGTGCTAGAACTATTGCTCTCGATCTGATGTTCATGGTGACCTCATGTGGTGCAATCACAGTTTACATACCAATGTGGGACCAACGTGTGCATTCACCTTTGCACAAGGGTGCTTTCATTTTTTTATTTTATCAACACAAGGAATGTAAACATCCCATCTGATAACAGGCAGTGACAGGTCCTCTTTATGTAGAGATCTGAGGTCTCCAAACAGCCCAAGGGCCTGATGGGGCCCTTTACTACCCTTTTTCTGGCCCTTGGGGCACTATTCCTCCCACAGAGACCAACAATGGGGCAGTACTTCTTCCCATGAAACCAAATGATGGGACACTATTCCTCCTACTGACACCAGTGGTGGGGCACTATTCCTCCCACTGACACCATTCCTCCCACTGATACCAATGATGAAGCACTATTCCTCCCACCGACACCAATGATGAAGCACTATTCCTCCCACCGACACCAATGATGGGGCACTATTCCTCCCACCGACACCAATGATGAAGCACTATTCCTCCCACCGACACCAATGGTGGGGCACTATTCCTCCCACCGACACCAATGGTGGGGCACTATTCCTCCCACCGACACCAATGATGGGGCACTATTCCTCCCCCCGACACCAATGATGAAGCACTATTCCTCCCACCGACACCAATGGTGGGGCACTATTCCTCCCACCGACACCAATGGTGGGGCACTATTCCTCCCACCGACACCAATGGTGGGGCACTATTCCTCCCACCGACACCAATGGTGGGGCACTATTCCTCCCACCGACACCAATGGTGGGGCACTATTCCTCCCACCGACACCAATGGTGGGGCACTAATCCTCCCTGACACCAATGGTGAGGCACTACAACTCCTACCGTCTAACAACCTGAGGCTGTGTTTATTTTCAAAGATGCGGGGCCAGGTCATTTTCTATCCTCTCTGGCCCTCTTACAGTCTAAAGGACAGTATACTGGCCCATTCTTTGTTTGAAACATTTGGAGACCCCTCTACTAGATCATCTGAACTTCCACTTTGTGCTACATTCTAGTTTTGGGGGGTCTCCAAACTGTCTAAGCAAAGGGCCAATTTACTGCCCTATGTAATTAGAATATGGTAGCAGTGGGAGGAATATGGCCCCATCATTGGTATCAGTGGGAGGAGTAGTGCCCCATCATTGGTGTCAGTGGGAGGAATAGTGCCCCATCATTGGTGTCAGTGGGAGGAGTAGTGCCCCATCATTGGTGTCAGTGGGAGGAATAGTGCCCCATCATTGGTATCAGTGGGAGGAATAGTGCCCCATCATTGGTGTCAGTGGGAGGAATAGCGCCTCACCATTGGTGTCAGTGGAAGGAATATGGCCACATCATTGGTGTCAGTGGGAGGAATAGTGCTTCCCATCATTGGTATCAGTGGGAGGAATAGCGCCCCATCATTGGCGTCAGTGGGAGGAATAGCGCCCCATCATTGGCGTCAGTGGGAGGAATAGCGCTCCATCATTGGCGTCAGTGGGAGGAATAGCGCCCCATCATTGGCGTCAGTGGGAGGAATAGCGCCCCATCATTGGCGTCAGTGGGAGGAATAGCGCCCCATCATTGGCGTCAGTGGGAGGAATAGCGCCTCACCATTGGTGTCAGTGGGAGGAATAGCACTCTATCTTTGATGTCAGTTGAGGGAATAAGTGCCTCATATCAGTGGGAGAATGTGTGTCCCCACAGGCTAGATCAAGGAAAGCAAAGAGCCACAGCTTGGAGACCACTGCTCTAGTCCAATCAGCTGCAGGTGTAAACAAAGGGGAGGGATGCTGGTGATGCCAATGTCCTTAGACAGACACATGCCCTTACTTTAGCAATGACCTTGACTAAATATGAGCACGTGTCCATACAAGAGCACTGATGTCACCAGCCATGCTGGTCCTTGGATTCCATGTACTGCGGGGTTGGGGAATGACCTGGCCTGCAGCTGAATGGACCCAGTAAATTGCACAAAGTGGAAGTTCAGGCAGAGCCGAGTTTGGAACTCATCCCTACTCAGCAGCTGCCGACAGGTTTTGGCTGCTGGGGACTGGAGGGAGGAAATCCCACATTACCTTACACAATCCACAAAGGTCCACATGATTCACAGAATGTTCTCCAGAACAGATGAGAAGATCCCATGGACTACACCATGGGGCAAAGAGGAAGTTCATACAGAGAGGAGTTCGGAGAACGCCCAAAGGGCAAGTGCCAGGCTTCCCATTATTATTGATCCATTGTTTTGGGGTGAAGATATCAAACCATTCCATAAATCTCCCTCCAGCAGAGGTCTCGCCTACCTTCGTTTTCCAGCATCATCTCCATATAAAGGGAGTCCTATCTCATTTCCGGAGTCCCCATCCCAGCATTTACCTTGTTCAGCAGGAATACATAGGTAGGGGTGGTCTCTCCTTTGCCACCGGTTTTCCTTCAAGATCTGGACACAGGCTACCAAGATCAAAAAAAGGTGAGAATCTCATTAAAGGCATGAAATATTACACATATATGACACAAGGAACTTCTGCGTGTTTCTGGTGTCGGACATCACTCAGCCTTACTCCCTATAAAGACTCTACACTTTCCTCCTCCATTTTTCTGGTCCACTAGAGTATCCACTTCTATGTGGTCTCTGCAAAAGTCACTACCACGATGACGTCAGTACCGGGAGCCCTCGGCTGCGGCACGGAACACTGAAGGGACGGCTAGGTGTGCCGTTCCTTCAGAGCGCATGCGCCGGTGATTTCACTGGCTGCATGCTTTGTGAATATCTCCTAAACGGTGCAAGTTTATTAGATGGTCACTGTGCCTACAGGTAAGTCTTATTGTAGGTACAACTTACAAAGTGGACTGTACTTCCACTCTAAGTGGCCGTCACTCTGCAAGGGGTTGAGCACCTCTGCTGTAGGGGGGCCTCAACTGTGGCCCCTGACTGCTCCAAAAGGGCCACACATAATATTCAATATATGAAAGAAGGCTGTCAGAGATTTCTGATATAGAGGAGGTGATCAGAGACTGCCGATGTGCAACAGGGGTGGCTGGGAAGTGAAGACAATACAGGAGGTAGAGGCTGGAGCCCTGCTCCATCGCTGTCATTGTAGCCTCTTTACAAATGAATGCTTCTCCTAGTAACTGCTGGGGTCTGCAAAGGGCCACGCAGCAAATACCAAAAGGGCCACAGGATGGGTACCAGGGTACTACAAAAAAAGAGGTGGATGTAGAAATTCCTCCTCACCTGGACACTGTATGGTGGGTGCTCCTGATTGGCAAAAAAAATTCCAACATGGCACAGGGCCAGATCTAGAAGGGTGCTAGGATGGGCTGTGCCTCCCCAGGTTTCTTAAAGTGCATCCACTGATCCAAGAGCCAGTCTGATGAAGACAGTTGATGTAAGGAGGCACTCTGATGGGGGACACTGATGTAAAGGGGGGCACTCTGAGGAGAACACCTGATGTAAGGGGGGCACTCTGATGGGGAACCCTGCTGTAACGGGTCACTCTAATGAGAACACCTGATGTAAGGGGAGGCACTCTGATGGGGACACCTGATGTAAGGAAAGACTGATGGGGACACCTGATGTAAGGAAAGACTGATGGGGACACTGATGTAGGAAAGACTGATGGGGACACCTGATGTAAGGAAAGACTGGGGGACACTTATGTATGGGGACACCTGATGTATGGGGGACACTTGATGTAAGGGGGCAATCTGATGGGGGAACCCGATGTAAGGGGGGCACTCTGATGTAAGGAAATACTCTGATGGGGACACCTGATGTAAGGAAAGACTGATGGGGACACCTGATGTAAGGGGGGGGAGCACTCTGATGAGGACACCAGATGTAAGGGGGGGCGCTCTGATGGGGACAGATGTAAGGATAGACTCTGATGGGGGACAACTGATTTTAGGGGGCATTCTGATGGGGGTACTGATGTAAGCATAGACTCTGACGGCGGACACCTGATGTAAGGGGGGACACTCTGATAGGGACACCTGATGTAAGGGGGAGGAGGGCACTGTGATGGGGACACCTGATGAAAGGGGGAGGGGGCACTGTGATGGGGACACCTGCTGAAAGGGGGGACCTGATGTAAAGGGGCACTGTGATGGGGACACCTGATGTAAAGGGGCACTCTGATGGGGGACACCTGATGTAAGGGGGGCACTCTGGGGACACTGATGGATTTAAGGGGGCATTCTGATTGGGGCACTGATGTAAGGGGGCACTCTGGGGACACTGGTGGATGTAAGGGGGCACTCTGATGGGGGCAGATGTAAGGATAGACTCTGATGGGGGAAACTGATGTAAGGGGGCACTCTGATGGGGAACACCAATGTAAGGAAAGACTCTGATGGGGACATCTGATGTAAGGGGGCACTCTGTTGGGGACACCTGATGTAAGGGGGCACTCTGTTGGGGGGGACACCTGATGTAAGGGGGCACTCTGTTGGGGGACACCTGATGTAAGGGGGCACTCTGTTGGGGGACACCTGATGTAAGGGGGCACTCTGTTGGGGGACACCTGATGTAAGGGGGCACTCTGTTGGGGGACACCTGATGTATGGGGGACTCTGATGGGGACAGTGATGTAAGG